CCAATCACTCCATCAACGGCTCAAGCTATAATTCAGTATGTTAAGTATTGTTATTCTGTTAAATTACCAGACAATTGTATGTATTTAGCATTTGTTTCGTGGCTGTTTAATAATAATACTCTCTTTTAAGTTAACATTTAATTATGTGTATTAATCAACTAAACTCTTAAGAACGAACAGATCTTTTCTAATTATTGTCTTAGTTTGTCGAAGACAGCGAATGCTTTGACCATACTTAATACAGAGCATATATCCACTGAGGACAAACTTCGGCTCTTCGATACCCTTATTGTGGTTCCCACACAGTTATTCAATATTATGTAAATGCAATCGGCACATCTCGAGTTTATAAGAAATTGTATAAGGATAGAAGAGCTGCAATAAGGATCTAGAATAGCTGCAGTTTGACCACCATGTGGGGAGTGTGGAGGGAAGAAGAGTATGTAGAAGACAGAGGAAACGGACTAAGCAAGTGGAAGAGAGCTGAAAGAAGCAAAAGAGAATATGTATGGATAGACAGAAATGGCACAAGATGGTCAAGTAGGGATGCGGTACATGATTTCAACATGTCCCAAAGGTGAGAATGGGTATTATAGATTAGATTAGATTATTTTAGTTACTTCAATAAACTGATGTGACAACAAAAAAATGGGAAAGTACCTTGTCAACTTTTGTTTAAGCTTTGTAAGGTTTCTACCTTAGATTTAAGAGTTAAATTTTTTCATTCATTTTGAATGTATCACTCATTCATTTTCATTTCTTTTTATGTGGGTAGTAGTGCAGAACCAATATTTTAACTCTGTTATAAATAATGCTACAAATTTAGTTCTTAAACAAATGAAGATAAATGTTTTCTTTATCTTTATTTAAGAAAACTCATTGACATTACACAAGTTCAAATAACACAAAAATATCACCTTATGGGAGTCAAAATGGTGAAACTAAAACAAGTTTCATAATTCTTGAGATCCAAAAGTAAAAAATTTGTGCATTTTTTCCCCCACTTTAACATTGATAAAGCAGTATTTTTGTGTTTTTAAAATGCATATCAGTTCAACATTTAACGTGAAGACAATGTTTAACATGTATTTAATGCAACATATAATGTGTGGACCCTTTTTTCTAATACTATTATTATGGATAAAACAACTGTAAAAGGATTAAGCAGTTAATAAACAAGCTGACAGAAAATAATTTGAGATTCTTGATTTGTTTGTTAAATAACAAAAATTTTAAATATATTTTTTTGAGTCTTTATAATTTAAAGAACAGAATAATGTTTTAAAATGACAGATTTTACAACAGGAAGTCATATCGTGGCTTACAGAAAAACCTTTGAACACAAAAGAGCAGCAAGAGAAGAATACACCAATGAACAAATTCAAACAAGTATGATTAATTCTTTCTATCCATGTTCTCTAAGTGAGAGCAGACTCGAGTAGTTTGTGAAGGATCAAGTCAAGTACACTCTGCATTCTCCAAGACAGACTTCTTGAATTATATGGAGACATGATTTAGTGCATAAATGTGTTAATCAAAGCCATAATATTATACAGTAGAAACATATAATGATGTAAATTAAATTTCTTATCTGCTTTTGAATCTGTTTAAATAAGAATTCTCTCACTGGATGGTAAATAATTAAAAACACAAAAGCTGGTTTGTTAATTATGTGTACATTTTTCAAGCCACTTTCGACCTTCTCCCTCTCCATTGTGTACACTGATGTATTTTTGGCAAGCCCTACCTTTAATTACACATTTGATATTTAGTAAATGCCCCGACATTTGGAGAAACGACTTAAAAATGTTCTGCATATGTTTTCTAACCTAAAGTTTATTCGCACAACTCGTAAGTGGGCTTATAAGAACAAATTCGCCTGCCACAAGAGAAGTCCGCCTAAATGCCTTGAATGACTCTCTCTCTGGGACTGTACAGATAGCATTTAAGGGACCTTCCATCAACTATATTAATGTTAATTAATATTGAAAACGTTAAAACAAAACTTCCACTTTATTCATTGTTAGTGAATGCTGTTATGTACATGGTATGCTCAAAAAGTTTTGGGAACAGGTCAAAAAATTAAAATATGGGATATAAAAGAAATTTATTTAAGATTTCTCAAAACAGTTGCTCTTTTCTTCAGCCAATCTATGAAAATTTAGAAAAATCGGCTTCTCTTGGGGATGACAAAATCTTTGATTTGTCTCATGCAAATTCTATCAAATCTAAATGCTTACCTTGTAAAGTTGACAAAAGACATATTATTGGACAGGTGAAATAATCAAGAATGATTATCTTAACATTATATGACAATTACACAAGCAATTTGCCAAAAAATATGTGAAAAAATGGCAACAGAAAACTGGATTCTCCATCATGACATCATCAGACTGTGTATAGAGATTAGAGAGGTTGAGGCGCACGTTTTAAACTTGTAAACGTGTACGTGTGACGTTTGGCGCCGCTTTCCCGTAAGCCTAAAAGTTTGACAATGGTGTTTGGATAGTCGGTGGAATCACGCTCGACATTTCAAACACCATCGTCAAACTTTTAGGCTTACGGGAAAGCGGCGCCAAACGTCACACGTACACGTTTACACGTTTAAAACGTGCGCCTCAACCTCTCTACTAACTGGAAAAATATAGAACTTATTCTTATGTAACTACCTTATCCCCCGATCTCACTGATTAAAACAACAGAAAATTCTTATTTGAAATGCAATCTATCATTCTATATTGCTTTGAATTTAACATGCAGTTCCCTTGTATATTCAAAGTTAAAATTAAATTGTGCTTTAAATTCAAAATACTTTTTAAATTCAAGTTACTGTTCAAAAGATTTTATATTTTCTTTAATTATACTTAATTTTAAATACATTATTGTCGTCATTACTCTTTAAAGGTCTTTTAAACTATATTTTACTCTAATTATTATCCAATTTTTCTCTATTTATAAAGTGTGGCATGTTTTAAATCCAAAGCAAATGAGTGTATGACTATAAACAGCCATTTAGTTTATATTTTTTAAGAAATTTCATTCCATTCATGCCATAAATATTGCAAATGACAATAATAATAAATAATAATAATAATATAACGTGTTACAACTAAAATACTTCATACAGTTACATTGCATGACTGGCAGATTTTTTACGAATTGTAAACGTGTGTGTGTATCCAGCAAAATGGCTATGTCACTCCTCTAAAATAAAGATCAGGAGAAATTTTGCTTTGTTTTCGTGGAAGTGATCATCATGTAAATAATTCTGTTTTGTCATAAAGTTTGTTATGTTATACGATATTTTTTAATCTTTAAATTGTGTGATTTTCAATTTAATTTGAATTGTAATTTAATTTAATTAATTAAAGCTTTTATAAATTTGTTAAAACTAAGATAAATTAATTAAAGAGCTTAATTTTCTAAAGTGTTTTTCATGTTATTCTGAATATTTTGACTAAGAATTGGTTCATAATTTAACATTGTCAGCTGTTAGAATAATTTAATATATATTAACCTTTCTATTCATTTCAGAAATGATACTGTTAGAATAAAACTACATAAAAGAATTATTAAAAGATATATTATGAAAACAACAGTGTACAAGTTTTGTAAGGTTTTAGCAATAATAATAGCGAGGTTGAGGCCGAAGTTTTAAATGCGAAAACGTGTACGTCGGACGTTCAGCGCTGCTTTCCTGTACGCCTAGAAGTTTGACAATGGTGTTTGGAATGTCGAGTATGATTCCACTGACTATCCAAACACCATTGTCAAACTTCTAGGTTTACAGGAAAGCAGCGCTGAACGTCCAACATACACGTTTTCGTGTTTAAAACTTTGGTCTCAACCTTGCTAGTATTGATTTTGAAATCAATAAATATACAGGTAGCCCTCGATTAATGCACTCTGTTAATATATTTTTGTTTTAACACAGTTTATTGATTATGAACAGTTTCTGTACTGTGTGCCATGTGGTTCCATGCATAATTTCCAAAATAATTCATATAATTACACATCCTCTCCTCTTGATACTTTGTAAGGGGCACCAAGAGGAGAAGGTGTGCAATTATTTGAATTATTAAGGAAATTATTTTAAAAATAAGTTATAAGGGATAATTTATCAATAACATTATGGGATGATGAGTGGAAAGGGCATGCGAAGGGTAAGCCAGTGGGGGCACAGACTGACTGATCACATCTCAAACCTCCAGAACAATGGGACCTTAGTTTGTATGAGTGACAGAGGCTAGATGTGACCCCGTTCCAGATAAGGTCATTAATAGGGCAAAGTAGTGTGTTCAATCAACACTAATTTTTTTTAAAATATATCTTCTGTGTTAATTGAAGACTAGTTGCATTACATAAACTAATTACAATATTCAGTTAATTAATATTTATTGATTATTAAGAGAAATATAATATGTTAATACAATTATTATCCAAAGTAATAAATTTTGCATGCAATTTTAAATAAAAAAAAAAAAAAAGACAGCAAATTCATTGATATCTTAAGAGGGTTTTCATTGGATCAAATTTCATTTAAGCTCTAACAAGTCAATAATCTGATATGTACATACATCAGTCATAAAATATGATAAAAATAATTCATTTATGCTTTAATTTTTTGTATATATTAATAAAAATTGTATTAATCTACTAAAAATCTCCAGTAGTTTCTCTGTACAATTTATTCGATTGAATTTTAAATTTCATAAATATTTTAAAGTTATATCAAGTTACACTTTAAGTTAAAAATATAGAGGAAACTTACTTTCTATTTTTAAAAAATCTAATAAAAATTTTACATTATTTATATTAAAATATATGCAAAGTTATTCTAAACTGTTGTAATTTAAGAAAAAATAAAATAAAATCTTACAATTTTAATTTACAAAATAGTGTTTTAATCAATATTTTTTACTTCTAAATAATGAAATGATAATTTTCAATATTTAAAATTTAATTTCTATTAAATAAATAATTAATGTATTTCCTATTAAGTTTTATTCTTTTAAATCAAAGAATAATTTACAAATTTACCTTGCACGTCGGTTCGTACGTCTATTATTCTGCTAGAATCTCCTTCGGTCTTCCAAGTGTAGGCTTTTATCCAAATTTTATACTGAGTGTACGGATCTGAAAAGAAAAATAAAAAATATATATATATGTATTTTTTATTTCTATGTAATCAAACTTTAAATAATTAAAATTATAGTTTTATTTTACTCTGGGACTTACAACTATCGAGTAAACTAACGTCTTAAATTATTGATTACATAAAATCTCATCAGCTAATAGAACGTGATTGAAAACCTGTCCGTACTATATTAAATTTGGGAGTTTACTAAAGGGATACGAATTGAAAACATCCTTTTCAATTTTTACTGATTTACAGAAAAAAGAGAGATAATTTCATTTGAGCGGTCCCGAATTGAATCGAGCCGAATCGATTGCAAACAGAGTGCGACGTAAGTTTTCTATATTTATTGATTTAAAGAATGAACTAAAAGTAATTTGGTCTGACAATGTGAGCTTTGAAAACTGGAAAAATCCTACAGAAATTCTTTTTTTGAACTCGGATATGTGTCAAGAATGTAATTCTAAACAAGCATTCCGGTTGATGTGTGTATATATATATTCTTTATTTTTACTTTCTATCACAGAAGAAAATTAAGTCAATTAATTTAGAAGGATGATTAAATGTTAATATCAATAATAAACTAAATATTAAGTTTTAATAAAGAATTCTGCCAATAAAATCTATTTATTTAAGCTTAAATTAACAATAAACTATTCTATAATTCATCGTTAATAAAAAAATAAATCATTTTGTTAAATTATCAAAATTTATTTTTATACATTTTGTATCGTGTAATAAAAAAAATAAACTAGAAAAGATAGCAATTAAATTATTAAATATTAAATTACCGGCAAATAAATTTAGCAGTTACTGCCGAATTACTCGCCGGCTAGCAAGAGTTACCGACAGAGTTACCAGCAAATTGTGGACTAAGGCAAGTTAAATTATCGACGAACTGACTAACATTTGCTAACAAGTTATCGACTGACTAACAATAGTTAAATTAATTAAAAAATAAATTAAATTAACAGATGTATTTGATATTTCCAATTTTAAATATGAAGTAAATTAATTTTTTCTATTAATACTTGAATATTCAAATGATAAGATCTCTAAAGCAATGCTAAAGTATATTTCTGAGATTTTGTATTATATACTTATATTTTAAATGGACACAATATTATCTTTAATTAACATTAAATTTGCCTCATTAAAGATAAGGCAAATTTAATGTTAATTAAAATTGTGTTCAAGAGATTGTGTAATGTTAATGAGAAAGGATTAACTGCAAAGAGTCGAAGTAGCACCCAACAATAACGATTACATAATTGAAAAGAAATAAATCTCTAAACCAACAGTTTTACTTAAAAACAACGTAAAAATGCCAATTTAAAGGTTTTATTTCTTAAATAAGATTGATATTTCTACATTTGTCATAAATACTCACTTAAATTAGCCAGAACGAATTCCATATCGCGACGGAGATCGGTCGTCTTGCGGGTTTCCGTAAGATTACGAGCCATGTGTAAATAGTAGACCTTGTATCCTCTCACCACGCCGTTGGGCCTTTCCGGTTGGTGCCATCTTAAGCGAATCGAGCTGTCCGTGACTCTGACGACAGTTAAATTTAACGGGGCACTCGGAACTAAAACCGCAAATGGTAGTCTAATCAGTTTGGATATTTATTTAAAATGTTAATTAAATATCCCGAGACAAAAACTTACTTCCTTCGTCCGTCATAACTGCTACGCTGGTCGGCGGACCGTCTCCTTCCGGATTAAATACTTGTACGGATACTATATATTGCGTAAACGTTGCCAAATTGCGAATGGTATATCCCTAATGAGAAAAAAATGCACATAAAAAAAATGGTAATAGATTAATAGCCCACGATATTAATATAAATCAATTTATTTTCTTTTCTAGCAGCAATAAATCCTTCACTTAATGTGCTGACTAACATAAAAGAGAGTTAAAACTGATCAAACTGATACTAACCATTACACTTCAGATATATAAATATTAATAGAGAGCAGCTATAAATGTTTATTCAATGTATCATTTGTTCTATGTTAAAGCTCAAGTTCAACATTTAGTCATTTTTATTTTTTTTTGAATTTGGATTATTTGCTCTTTATATGATAAAAAAAAAAAAAGAAATTACTGTAGAATATGTGCTGTATTTCATCATTTTTATGATAAAATAATTATTTGAAGAATAATAAATGAGCAGTGAAGATCAGAGTTCTTCTAAATGTAATTTTGTGTGGATATGTTTGATAAATTTTACTTCTAATCCCACAAAATTAAGGTAAATATTCAAGTTTTAAATGTTAAAATGCATTGTCAGGCATTACCACATCAAATCATTTATTTATATTTGTCTAACAAGACTTTTAGCCTACTTCTAGACTTTATATAAACATTAAAAGTCGATAAGCTTATCAGAGACGGCTGCGTTCGGCTCTATGAGGCCTAAATTATAGGCGTAAGAGTGGCAAGAGCACACAGTATTTCCTAATTAAACTCATCTTTCTCATCTTCTGTTCCAAAGTATGACATTACACGACGTTGAAAGTATGCGACGAATCATCCGCGCGTTGTTCAGAACCCATCCGCAACACAAATATGCACAACCGCATATCATTTTAAAAATACTGATAATCGGGAAGCCGTTATCTAAACAAAACAGAATGCGCTGCATTATTTATCTTGCCGGTGTAGTTTTTTTGCGTAGTTGGGAAATAAATCCAACATGCAAAACCTGAATAAATACATTTCTGTGTACTGGAGCTTGCAAAATAATAGGATACCTTTTGGAATTTCTAGTTTATTTTCTAATCTAGCAGTGTTGAAATCCTACGTGCAGTTAGGTAATAATACAGATTACTTTATAACAATAGAAAAATAAATCTAGAAACTTGAGAAGTGGTTAAAATTACTGGTAGACGGTTTAGCGAACCTTAAACTTGACACACTCCAAGGTCCTTCAAGGCCATAAGGAGTTTTTAACACCAGCATCTTAAGTTACTGGACTCCTCATAAAAAGCACCAATTAATAAATAGGAAGAGTTACGCTTTCATCGAGACGTTTATAAACAAGAGATGGGGGAGGGTGAGGACGAGAGAAGACAAGAGCAAGGTGCCAAGGATTTTTATAGAACGGGCCTTCACCTTGAAAACAGCATCCTTTGTTTAGGGATTTCCTTTACGCAATACTGCATGGGCAGGGGGGGTTGTCCGTTTTTCTTTTCGTTAAAGGGTAAGAGGGGGAGCTCGTTTGTAAGAGAGAATTCTTTAATCAAAGTCCATAAACTTACTCTGACGGTGGGATCGCGTATGGTGATGACTTTTTCCTCCTCCGGTTTATCTCGAGGCCTAAAGGTGATACGATATCCCAAAAACTCTCCGTGTATCGTCGACTCGGGCGGTGGCGCCCACTGCAGGCGAATCGACGTACTACTGACGTTGTAAGCGCTGGCGATGGTGGGCCTTCCATCCGGCACTATGGTTAGAATGTAGTTTAAGTGTGTGCTAGCCCGTTTTTTCTTTAATTTCGTAGTGTTATTTACTCACCTTCTCGCAGTGTCACCATGTAATACGACTCCTTACTGGGTTCGCTCCCTCCTATGGCGTTAACGGCCACCACGCGAAAGGAGTAGACTGTGAACGGTTCCAAATTCGTCACCTGGAATCTGGTGTGGTTGTTCGGGGTCTTTATCCCTTTCCTCAAGTCCCACTGTCCTTTTTCTCCTACTCTGAAATGTTCAAAGGCGCACATTAGTGCTTAGATCTGACTGTCAATGTCCTTCGCTCCCAACCTTGAATGGGGTGGAATAGAGGGAAAAAAGCGCGTGCGTTACCTGGAAACGTTCCAGCTAATAAAACACATTACGGTTAATCGCGAATTTTAGAACCCCCCTCGTAGCAGCTGGATAATCGGAGTCTAGCATCAACGGTATGCAGTTAAGACGGGTTTGTGATATTCTACAATAGAGTCAATAATACTCACTTCTCCCCCCCCTAAATTCTACAATAGTGCGGTGATAATGTACTAACCCAAATCAAGACTGTGTTTCGATAATATAATTCTACATAATTTTTAAATTTAAAAAGAATTTAACGTGTTAGGTGTTAAAAGACTGTCAAATTCCAAACCCCCTTCTCGCTTAGAGGTCAGGAATATTCTATTTTTTATATAAATATTTCGGCATTTGTTCTTGATACGGGCCTAACCGTAAACTGAGTTAAACAAAGTGTGGTCCAAAAGTCAGTCGACCGCTATTTGTATTATACGTCCAAGATTATATAACCCCCCTATAACACTGTTGATTATTCTGTTTTATATGAATTCCATGTTGTACGAGTCACTTAGATTTTACAAATACGTGAGCCATTCACAGCCCGGCACACGTATTTGTAAAATCTGACTCGTACAACATGGAATTCATATAAAACGGAATAATCAACAGTGTTATAGGGGGTCGACTTGTATACTTGGCGAATACAAACCGACCGAAGAAGCGTAATACAAAAATATTAAGGCAGCAAAATTAGTGTTTATAATGGTTAACCGAGTTTTAGGCCACCCTGTATAATCTTTTGTACTTTATACACATAATTTTCTGTGTGTTTTACGTTTATAATCGCTATTTAGAATGCGAAATTAGTCATTATTTACATAAAAATGATAGGATACATTCCAACTCCACCAAGATAAGGGGCAAAAATATGGTTCAAGATAATTCCCCGCCTTAAACAAATTAACTTAGAAAAATGTCCACGTTAAACTTGACTCGAACGGGGGTATAACACTGTACAGAATATAGATTTTTTACCGCATTTCTCCTCGTGTAGCGCTTCCAAAAATGACTCTAAACGTAAGCTTACGTTCGAAGGTACTGTACATCTGTATAATTAAATGTACAGTACCTATCCGAAACGGGAATTAGGCCATACATCGATCAATTTGGTCAGAACGTTCGGGGTGATTGACGTTATGTGACAGCTTTGAAGACCGAAAATCAGAATTTAAAGCGGGGATTAGGCAAGCATCACTTATTAAATTTCTATTGATAACACTGAAAACTGCGTAATTGTGTTTTAAAAACCGGAGCGATGGCTCAACTTTTTAATATAGAAACCTCATTTTGGAGGGGGGACGACTAGCACCGGAAGTGACGGTTTTAAAAATGATAATGGAGGAGGAATTAAGAGTTTGATTGGTCGTAGGATGGCTCGATTTTGTGTGCAGAATGTTAACGGTGGCGAAATGGAGAAAGGACAGAACAATACTCTTAATTGCGCCAGCTGAACGAGGGGGTGGTTGGGGGTCAGAAGACAGCATCTGGATGCGATAGCCGAAAGATTAATAACGTTAGCCATTCTGGTATATGGGTCACGTATGTCTACGCGAGAGGCGGGCTAACGAATTAAATAAATTCTGTCCATTCTTTTGTAATTTCTGTGCACGGGATTGGAGGTAGGTAGGAGGAGGAGGAGGAGGACATCGCGCCAAGTAAACGCAAACGTTCGATTGTATCGATCGCGTCACTTGGCAACGGGTACATCACCACTGGTAACGAGGTAAAGTCGGTTGGAGGATGGTAAAAAGTAGTTAAAGGCAGCGATGTTATCGTTAGAAAACATGGCCGAACCGACAGAACAAAACGATTTACCTACGTACCTGAGGAAGATGACGTAGTACTTGATAGGGCTGTAATGGTTGTTGCCGCTCGGTGCCCACGAGAGATTAGCCGATCGAGAAGTAAATCCCATCATTAGAGGCATGCCAGGGGGGTCGGGTACATCTGCCAAAAAAATAAAAGACGAGAGTCAGAAAATTATTTTTTTAAAATAAAGACAAAGAGAGGGTCGAAATCTCTCTTTCGAAACCCGCATTTACCGCATCTCGCATTAATTACAGTAGAGTTATTTTATTTACAAAAGCTATTTTACGCTCCGACACGGTGTATTCTGTAAATGGTGCTAATTACCGGCATCTCTTTTTGACTCGTTAACTCCCATCTCCGGTTAATTTGCATGGCAACGAATATAATCTAATAATAAACCTAACGACCTCGTACCTGTGTTGGCAACAATCAATTCGCTAAAACCCTATATACGAACCTCGGTTCGTTCGATATTTCGTGTTTTCTCCACCACGACGCGCCGGAAAATCGAAAAAAGAATATGGCTCGATCCTTAAAGTATTCCTGTCAGAACACCTCCCGGGCCTACGAGACGTGTGATAGAAGGCGACGACATAGAAAAAATAAATAAATTCCCTTTAAACGTCATTTCTACTTTATTCCGATATAACTTTTTACATATTTATTTTTCCGAGTGTAACTGGAAGCGCTCTGAAATCTCTTACACACCTCGTTGTAACGCGGACACGATTTCGTAGGGTGTAAGATTACTGTTTATGTTAACGGCAAACTGTAAACAGATTCTTTAATGTCTCTCATCTTTAAAGGATTTTTAAATCCGTTAAAGATGAGACATATTTTTGTTTAGGCAAGGATCGAGTAGGAGAACCTCTAAAACATTTTTTCGGTGGTCCTAATTTTTCTCGGGAAGAGCGGGAGGGATAAAAAAAAAAAAATAATAATCATCAAAGTCAGTTACACACTACACGTCCTTCTTTTGTTCCTTCCAAAAGCAATTTCTCTACAAAACCCGAAGGTTGCAACCCCACCTCCACTTGTTTCTGGAGTGCCATTTTTTTAAATCCATTGTATAGAAGATCCTTCTCCGCGCTGGAGAGTAGCAATTTTTATTATTATTTTTTTAGTTTTTTTTTCTTCTATTCGGAGGGGAGAGACGTGGCAGTGTTTCTCTAATGTTTACTCCGGTTATTTAACCCGCTGTCACGTGACGATCCCAGTACCATCGGGACGCAACGATTAAGGATATTGTCGAATGTGAAAGACACGCTCGGCTGGCGACGCTTCTTCCGATTTTCACTCGGGAACACGTCATGCTTGAGGGTCGTCCAGTTTTATAGTAACTAACCTCCCCCCTCGCGGCACCTGGCTAAACACTAATTCGAATATCCCCCGACTTCGCTCCTCGTTATCGCTTTTGTCATAATCGATATTTAATTGAAGAAGGATAGGCGAATGTGACGTCACAGACGGCAAAAGTCAACTTTCTCCCCCCCCCCTTCGAACGGGATGGCGCGGAAAGGGGTGTAACAATCCCTTAGATTGGCCGAGCTTTAGGGAATTACTTAAGATTGGCGAAAATCTGTAGGGTTTTTGCCTGATGGAGCGGTGTTATCGGCTTCCAAATCTAATAAATTTGCAAGCGATCCTTCCATTTCTTTAAGTGTGACACACCGCTGTAATTCTCTACTCGTCCTTACAGCCGCCATAAAAATCCATTTGGTACTTACCGAATTGGTAAGGATTTTATTTCGTCTTTTCCAATTACTGTTCTACAATTTTATTCGACCCTAAGCTCTACTTTTAACGTTTCGTTCTTGCCGCTACACGTTCCATCTTGGCAAACTAACCTTTAGCATTTTTTCCTCGTTACTCCCCTCCTAAAATCTTAACCTTACAACGCTATTCTTGGCATAACTATTCTAACCTTATAACTCCTTTGGCTTTCTTCTTGCCTTGACACTGTGCGTTTTAAGTGTATTTTGCCCTATTGACGGCCTTAAAATTCCCTATTTTAAACGGCTAAACTGACGTTTTACTCTTGTCCTCACCGCTGTATTAGCTGCATATTTTCCTACAAGCCGCGTAACTAACTTTTGGGCCACCCATTAACGGGTTTAGAAACTATCTTTCTACCCGTAAAATTACCTCTTTATTACGCCGCAGCGAACGCCTAGAAATGTAATTCTGGCGATACAATTACACAGGGACTCATTACAATTCGGATGCGAAATTCTTTCCGTTGGAACGGGAATAAAACAAGATTTATCCTTAAGATAAATTTTATTTTATCCTTAAGATTTACCCGTAAGGTTCTGGTGAAACCAGCAGCAGCAGCTGCAGGGAAATAAAATTGTTAGACAGATAGTAGCAGGCGCGGAATAAAATTGTAAGCTAGCGATAAGTAGGAAACGGATTTTTATGGCAGTCGTAAGGACCAAGCGGGTTCTACCTTGCCAACATTTTGGCATTTTACCCTATCAATGCGGTCTGGTTTATATAATACTAACTTCCTCCGTATTTTTCCTACCTCTAACGTAATGCCTCACTCCTGAAATATACGTAATGCCTCACTTTCCTAAGTATTAAAACCCCTGCCGCTAACGATCACCCCCCCAAAACTTTAATGCTTTATCCCCTATTAACCCACGTAGCATTCGTAATACCTTATAAAACCCCCGTTCGGTCGGCGAGATCCCCCGAAAATGGGTAAATTAATTCTACACAAAAGGGGGATTTTGGGACGTTCGCCGGGGTTCCAAAATACCCGATCGACCGAGCGGAAGTACCGCAGACCCAATGCGTTTCCTCCCCCCTGCCTTTTTCAGCGATCGATAAACGCCTTCGACAGATTAACCGCATTTCTATTATCCCATTGTAGTCCATAAACGAACTTCCAAAGTCGTAACGAGAGAGGAATCGATTTTCGAACGGCCCGGAGCATCTCCCCCCCGAAACTTTATTTTATTTTTTTTCTATTTTCCGAACGAGCGCGTACACTACTATAACCGTGTGACGTCATTATCTTATTGACTCTTCCCGTCTCCAATTACCGCAACGCAGGAAGTAATAGAGTGTCATTTCCGCTTCTATGTAACCAATCAGTTAGATTTAAAACCCCGAATTGTCCGAATGACGATTCTTTCGCATGGCCGGAGCTCGAGAGCAAAGGGGTAGTGACCCCGGTTCCCCCCCCCGGCGGCGGGGGAGGGGAGACGAAGAACTGGAACACCCCGCTTAAAAAGGGGAAAGTTGAAAGCGAGAGTAAACAGCGCGCGGGAAAGTCGCTGGTCGGATCGGTTATCGAACCCACCCCGCTTGTACCGCATGCTTAATTAAGAGAACGTCGTGTTACTGCGCTTTTTTTTACTGCATCGGAAATTATTAATTTACCTTCTGTACTCCCATTTATTTTTTAATGGCGGCGATAATTTTATAAGGTGAGCGCGTGCGGCCGTAAAAAAAAAAAAAATGTTCCCAATCGTTTATTATTCGCTTTAACTCGCCCCCCTCTATTAAAAGCCGAGTATCGCTCGGTAATTGGACGAGTAATGCGCGCTAATCACGTGATTGGTGTTGACAAATACCGCGGCCGGGTTTCGAATTAAATCGGTGGGGACGAGGCGCCAATCGAACCTAACACGGGACTCGAACGGCCGGTCGATAGTCGACCCCGCGACAGCGAAACAGAGATAGCGATCGATATCCGCGACCGAATAAATGCGATAAATTCCTCTCGCCGGACGGATTCGGCGCCGTAGGTAACACGATAATAGAAAGTAGTAGAAAAACTCACCCTGGACGAAGAGCTTGACCACTCCGTCTTTGCGTCGCTTTCCGTTGACGGCGCACGAATATTCTCCGCTGTCCTCCGTTCGCACCCGACGAAAGTATAGGGTGTAGGTGTTGGGCAGTATGGACACGTGCGAAGCGGCTTCCCACGTGGACTTGTGCTCCCCCTGAATATCCACGATTTTCTTGTCCTCCTTCCACCATTCGATCCGATGCACCGTTTTGGCATCCACCACCTCCCTGCACTGGATGGTGACGTTGTGTCCGACCTGAACGTATATGTGATCCACTTCATCATCTGCGGGATAGCAAACGGGGGGGGGAGTGTGAGAGGATGAGTGAACGTTTTTCGAACGGAGTTTTAAGAGAGAAAATCGCCCTCCCCACCGAGTGACGAGAGCGTTAATACACGTAATAATTTTCCTCCCCGTCTTAATTAGACCTTAACGAGGACAACCGATGTGAATGACTAAGTAATTGCTACACTTCCAAGAAACGTTTTCGATCGTTTAAACTCGAACTAACGAAATGCGAAGGGTCAAAAACGATAGTTAAACGACCCCGGGGTTAGAAAATCCGCCAGATAACAACACCCTCCCCCCCGTAAGGCGGAAATCGATAATTCTCCACGCCTTAACCACGGTAATAGTTACCGGGTGCACGGATAAACCCTCGGAGTCACGGAAAATCGATGCTGAAACTCGGCGACGTTCTCTCTCTCTCTTCTAGCCGGTTAACCGAGAGAGAAAGAGAGAGACGTCCCCCCCGAACAAAAACTATGCGGAGAAAGTCGACAGGAAACATAGGTTTGGCGTCACGAACTCTCCACGACACGGTTTATTACCGTCGGACTACCTAAAAACGGGAGCAACACCACTCCCAACACGGCACACAGAGAGTGGGGGGGTCAGAGGTGAAGATACGGATCGTGATAGGCTTCTCCGCTAAATCGTGCATGCGATACAGCTGCCGTCTTAGCCCGGAGGCTTCACGATCTCGACTAGAGACAGATGGTAGGAGGGAGGGACTACCTACCTCCATTGTGTTCCGAGTGTGAATGTTATCTGGGGAGGGGGGGTGAAGCGTCCAACCCCGGTAAATATTTCGGGCCCGCGTGGGCCGAAAATCGATAGCGTGTGTATGTACGTGTGACGTCGGGAAACACGGAATGTTGTTAGTGTCTTTTTGGGGCCTTCGATCGAAGGACAGTCATCCGGAAAGGGACAGCTCCGTAACGACACACGGGTTAAGTGTGGGTTGCGTGAAAAAATGGTGCAGTAATATCCACCCGGCCGAGTCGATAACCTTTTATTTTATTTTTTTTTTTTTATAAATACCCCATTGGAGCGGGATCTTCCGAAGTCTTTAGAAAAGCGGGGTGATCTTCTCCCACAATCTGACACAAACGAAGGACATTAAGCTGAAGTGGCATATCGAGACGAACCTTTAATAGGCGTTCGTTGTCGGACTACCGGGTCGGACAATAGCCCCGACACTACTCGTCACCCCCGTCATTAACCGAAAAGGAAAAGCTAAACTTTCCGGGGGGAGGGCGTAAGATTTGGGTCATACGCTACCGAAGAATCGGGAGAATGCCGGATAAATCGATTTTTCCCCGCTCGCACACACACACACACACACACACCATATAAAATATACAAAGCCGAGAGGGACCCCGCGCATCGGCAGTGACGTAAGCGGGGAGTGTGTGTGTGTGTGTTGTGTTGTGGGGGATCGGTGGGTGGGATGCGATGGCCCCCTCCGCAGTTCTTTATTTTCTAATTATCCAACGGGATGATTACACTTCCTTATTAAGTCGTGTGCTGAGAATGTCGCTACACGCGAGAGAAACCCGAGCGGGCACGGAATGCCAAAATGGCCACTGGGTTTATATAGTGACGTGAGGGGGGAGGAGAGCGAGATCGGTTACGCGACGTTTCCGAAAGCCGAAACGTCACACCAACGTGACGTTGCGTCGGGAAATTCGGACGGGACCCGAAAGAATTCGGAAATATCACGGATCCGGTCGCATCCGAAACGTTTACCACCAAAACCGCGAGGGGGCGGGCGGAGGTTTTTATATTTTTTAGGGGTTTTTTCGGAGGTTTACCGACACCTACCTCTGTAATGTATTCCCTGTGCGATCCATATTAGTAAGTAGATGACTGGACAAAGTCGCAACCTTTGCCAGATCATTATCTAGAATTCCGTAGGGGAAGAAACCATCTTTTTCTACCTTATTTCCATCGAAGTATCGTTCGAAACGACAGAATATTTTTCTTTTAAATCCGGCAAAACAAGAACATCGCGTCTACATCCACATCCCAGTTCGGCTGGCAGCCAACTGATCGTCTGCCGCTCTCGCTCCGTTTCTCCGCTTGGTGGCGCCTCTCGGGCTGTAGAAAATCGAACTTTATCGACCCGAACCTTTAATCATCGCTAGAATAAATCGTCTCGACTTAATAAACAATTCTAACCCGATCGATTTATCGATACGCTGTCGGAAAATTAAAAAAATAAATAAAAATAATTTCGCGCGGATATTAATACGCAGCAAAAATTCCATCGATAAATTTCTTTTAATTTAAAAATTTTTTTTTTCGAGATTTAATTAAAAAAAATNATCCGTTTGGATTATCATACAAAGGAGCTAGCCGTTGTTAATTAATTGTTAACTACACTTAGACTCTCCGACGACACACAAAAAACAGGAATAAGAACACAAAAAAAATTCCGCATTGTTTTTAATAGCTCTATTGTAATTTATCTGAAACATTCGCCAACGTTTCTTCCACGAAAAAAAGCAGAAGTTCTCAGTGTGAGGTCTACTTAATTTAATTTTAAAAATGGATTTTTATCAAATTGTTTCATAATATAGATGGCGTAGATTTTTTTTTCTTTGTGTTCGGAAACAAGTAAATAACCCGCTTGTGGCATTTGGAGTAATAAAGAGTGATAACAAAGCTGACAAAGGTCGACCTTTCTGAACGCATCTATCAAAAAGTAGGATCGGAAGGTTAACGAGTGTATACAGATTACCGGTTCTGTTAGAATGAGTCTCGAAAATTCGGGTTTTTAAAATGAAATTTAAGAAGAATTTTTCTGTGTTAGTAGAGTAAAGAAGTGTAAAATGGCATCTAAAATAGGTAGGGCTAAGATATTTACAAGGCCTCATCGACAAACAAAACGCCCTTTTGGATGGCTAGTGTACATACTTTTCGGGATATGTTTCTTAATTTGTCATCAACATGAAACTTTCGAATTCACGAATTGTAAACAACCTTTTTAACCTTGTGTTTTCTGAAGAAAATTTGGTTTCTACCCAAGAACTGGATGGATTCGGAAAGGTCATACGTAGACATCCTTTTTTTTTTTTTTTTTTTTTTATTTACTCGGTCACGCAAAACGTGATCCTTGTCACAGATGAAAGCATTTTTAAGTTGTTTGATCTTCTCTTTGTCCATTTGTTGCTTGACGGGTTCGTGACCGATATTTTAAAGACGGTTGNTCGGTCACGCAAAACGTGATCCTTGTCACAGATGAAAGCATTTTTAAGTTGTTTGATCTTCTCTTTGTCCATTTGTTGCTTGACGGGTTCGTGACCGATATTTTAAAGACGGTTGTGGATTCGCTTTATTTACGCAATTTTTGTTTTTTTTGTTGAATCGCAATTGTGAATCGGTGGTTAAAATTGTGGGAAGTGTATTTGTTGTTATGGCTGAATATCTCGTCACAACATTCTTAGAAAAGAGTCATCGCCTGGCATCACTTAGAAAGGAAGTCATGACCTATCCTATGCTCTGTTTTATTTGATCTTTGCATAAAGGTTACAGGAACCACGCCACAGAAGAAAATCGTTTTAATTGTCTCTCGTATGTCTCTTATACCACGATAAACACAGGAGTTTCCTTCTTAAAAGCTAGCAAGAGAAGGTCAAAGTTTAATATAGCAGATATCAACAATATTAGCCTATATTTAAAGGTCGAGGATCAGTCGAGACATTTTTTTTTTAATGCCATTTCTAAGGCCATAAGTTGAAGCAATCAATAAACGTTTCGTGTGAATGACCAAAAGTAATTGTCAGTGTCATAAGACAAGCGTTTTTTTTTTTCTTCACGCTAACCCAATTCTAAATATTTATATAAATAATTCAGGAATTAAGGATGGATTCGTGACGTAACGACTCAAGGCATGTAAAAAGTAAGAATTAAACAACTTGGTTAGATGAAGTCTGATCACTTTGAACATCACCTACACCTTATAATTAGCGTGAATTAATAAAGAAGCGGAGGTCAAAGATATCTACGTTCAGGCCATTTCCCTCGTGAAAATGGAAAACGCCTTTATGAATTTGTCATGATTGTCTGTGCCTTATCGATTTATTGAAGGAAAGGAAGGTAAAAAAAATTCAGTAAATTTACTCGAAATTAATTAAAAATGGTAAAAATATCATCTATACACCAATTAAATTTGCCTTAAAACGTAATATAATATGTCCGAAAACGTCAGTTTGAAAAATAGTTTGTATAATTATTCCCAGATGGAAGTCGTGACGAAAGTTCATCTCCTGCCATCAAACATTTTCTTTCGCTCGCCCTCTCTTAAGATTTCTTTCAAACACGTAAACATTTATGGTAAATGCATGCCAAATTCGTAGCTAAATCTATTGCCATAAAGTAATTTTCGGCCATTTTGGGGCGGTCATTATTTCTTCCCTTGCAACGAGGGCAAAACATTACCTAAAGAGTTGTAATGTTTTCTTCTAGGATAGATTGTGTCTAAGCATTCGTTTATCCAGTTTAAAATCTACACTTTAAATTATTCGGTTATCTCAAAACCGGGAGTGACATATAAAGGAGCAAGATGGCGGCCTCCATGGCGCATAAAAAATTAATGAGTTTGCTACTTTTTTTTTGTAAATATTAATAATGTTAAAGTTATAACTTATGTAATTTAATAATTAATAATGTCCGTTATCTAGTTAATGGGTTTTTATGTATTTTTTGGAGGATTTTTTTTAATATTGGAAGCCATTTTTTACAATGGGCGTTGGTGCTTTCTTTGGGCTATAACCCAAAATCAATTTAGTGAATCATCCAGGACCTCCGTGTTTGATTAATGTTACACTTCATATTAGCAAAGTCAATACCTTTAATATGAAATCATAAGCAATAAATCTATTAAATGTATCTACAAAGACTACACGCGATGCCGCCATCTTGATCACAAAGTTTCATTATTTATACAAATATTTAGGTATTTTTTCACCCGTCGGCAGTAATACAAACACTAGTGAATAAAAATAACACTAGGAAATGAAATTTTAAGTTTTTAATAATGTTTAAAATTTAAAAAAATACTTTCCGTGAAGTNTGAGAACTGATTCCAAAACTTCAATTTGTTACCATTAGATGGCATTTTTGGGGAATATCAACATAGTTTTTGGTGAACTTCCATGTCTTTTGGGGTCCTGAGTTGGTTGCGCGTGTAATTTACGTATTGAGAACGGAAGTTGTTTACTAGGAAAAGTTTAAAGTCCATAGTTTTGTCAAGGTTGCGCTCCCTTTCCTCTCTAAGGGCTTATCCAATGTGTATTAAGTTACATACCAACTTGGATCAGAATGTGCTGCCACTTTAAATTAAGTTTTTATCCCAGAAAATCGAGATGTAAACGTGTAACTGAATATAAATGTGTTAAATTCGAGCTGATGCCTCCCAGTCAAACTCATCTTTTCTTATTATATATATACTGTATATTTTATATAAAATGCAATGCTTGGATAACTTTTCACCCTTCGAACTTGTCCACTTTTTTTATAAATATTTTATAACTTTGACTTCAACTTTCATACATTTTCTACTGTATTTTTAAGTAAAATATCCAAAACTTCCCCCCCCTTCAATATGAGCTTCTAAAGTGCCAATCCTGCCAATTAAATCTGTAGAAAATGGAGTTTTGTAGAGGAGAAAGGGGTCAAATTTCTTCTCTATTTGTTAAAAAGGAGAAAGAACTTTCAAATATACTAAAAAAAGGAGGGGAGAAGTGAGTTTTCTTTTCTATTTTCGGCCATAAAACGGGGTTTGATAAGCGGGATGCAAAAGAGAGTGCCACCTTTCAAGCACACTCGAGCGGAAAATATCGAATTTATTCGGCTGATTGATACCACAGATATATATAAAAATACGTGTGTATGTGTATATAGGCTATATATGGAGAGAGAGAGTTGCTGAGAATAGGTGTGAAGATGATCAGAGTTGATAGAGCCATACAAGATATAAATAAATGAGAGAAGAATCGAATGCAGAATTGAAAATATACAAGAAAAACAACACTTAGACACTCGATAATTATATAAACATAATTTTATCGACGTCGGAATGGATGCGAAATGAAAATTATGACTAGAGAATAACACTATGTGACTAGATTACGGCTGTCCTTCGTAGATAACATTATACGAGATTACCGGGTTGCGTTAAAAATTACTTTATATTCATAACCTTTTCTGGCTAGTAAAGTCATTTATATGCTATTCTAACGCGCCATATCGATTTTACATTTTTACTAAGTGCAACCCGAATACCCCCCCCCTTTATACTTCCTGGTCTCCAATTATATATTTATAGAACACAGGATTTTTTATTTTTTTTTTAATTTAGCGACGTCTCACTATCGAATATACCAAGATAAACATATTAAAATGTAAACTATCAAACTCCATAACTGAAAAATAAACTAACAAAGTATATTTTTTTATTATTATTTTGATTTGGTGTGTTTATATTTTTATAGAAAGTCTCTCAGGTTCGCTTGTTTTGACACTCTTCTGATAATTTATCGAGTCGACGTATTATTATTGATGGTTATAATAATAAATCACGATTAATGAGGCATGTAAACTAACCCGACCCCCCTTACATTTTAATTGCCTAAGTACCTATAAGCTGGTTTCATACACAAGATATTTTCCCACATTGTTCCCTCTTTCCCCTTTTAAATTAGCGCGTATATATTAGCCCTTTTTTAGGTTCTTAATCCCAAATTCGATAAAGAATGCCATTGTTATTGTGTTTCTCTGTTAACTTTGCGGATTGGTCAAACATTCTTTCATTCTTTCTATGTGTACAGTACGATTTAAATATTCCGATCAGAGTTAGCCTCTAGGGAAAAGCAGATAAGAAATTGTATTGATAAATGTATGAAGCTAGGATACTGCAGTTAATTTTAACTCTTATGATGTTTCCCATCCAAATGTATTTTTAAAATGCTATTATGTAAAATTTATTTAACCTTTATTGTGTAAATAATTAAGTTTACTAGTCTATGCGCAAATATATCTATATATATAAAAGTAATTAACTCTATATTTTGATGCAGTTAAGCTTTAAAACGGGCACGAGTAGAATTAAGCTTTAATTCATACCACTGAGAAAAATTAAGCTTCTATGCTTACCCATTAGTAGCATTAAGCTCTTGCACCACATGCTCATGAGGAGCATTAGGTTCTAGTATGCAGCCATGAAGAGAAGTAAACTTCTGTGTATACCTATGAGGAGCATAATAAGCTCTAGTGTTTCCCAAACTCTTCGGACTATTACTACCCTCTTTTAGTTCATATATTTCTTATATATAGCCTATATATTTTTTTGTTTCAAAATGAATTTTTGTCCCCCTTGTCTTCCAGTATCCCCTTGTCTTCCAGTATCCCCTTGAGTCTCCTACTACACTCAAGGGGATTTTGGGAATCACTGTTCTAGTGCATAGTTATGAGTAAAGTTAAGCCGTGGTGCATAGCTGTGAGGAAAATTAAGCTTCTGTGCTTAGCCATGAGAAGCATTAAGCTCTAGTGCTACCCACAAGGAACAAGTAACTATTCTTTTAAAGGTGTATGGCATGATTTTAATAAACACAGGGTATTGTTATTTTAATTTCCATCCAATATGTCTAAATGTAGGCTATATAATTATCCATAATTTCAATAGCATAATCAGACTCATGACTTTAATAACATCGTTATATTAATGAATATGGATCGATCTATGTCTTATACCCGAGAGTATAGTTTACATAACGTACTGTAATTTAATTTATTATTAATATATATATATATATATATTACTATAAATTATTCGTATATAATTAATAATTAATCAATGTTTAAAACTTTTACTCTAAAAATATATATTCGTGAACGTATTTAAGTATATTTTAATTCTACATTTTGTAAATATGAAATAATTAAACATGTATAAGAAGCAAAATTACATAATTATGTGTGTATTATTAAGATAATTACTTCAAGAAGTCATTAAATATAACAAAGAAATTAAAATTATTAAGTAAATTAAATAAAATTCCTTAGATATAGCGTGTTATAGTTAAACTTTCGAGTGCAAAATATAACTGTAGATGTCCTAATTCTCTCTATCATCGATTCATTCTTTTCATTACATTACTTAAGACACGAGACGAAGTGTGTCCCGATTTTAATGGGATGGTCTCTACTTCTTTTAAATTTTATAAAGAGGAAGAGATGTTTCTTTTTTTTTTTTTTTATTTCAAAGAACTATCTGCCAGAAGAAGGAAGAAGGTAGAAAAAAAAAGAGTCAAGAAATTACAAGTAGAAATATCTTAGTGACCAGATGTTGCAACCAGCAGTGTGAAGCACATCCTCCTTACCGACAACGATTATTTCTAGGCACTGCAATACTTTACGGTTATTGTTTTCGTATATAAATTCAATAATTCTCAACCAATTTATATAATAATCAATGCTGTTAATCAGTAGTTTACTTTTAAAAAATTTGAGAAAAAAACCGGAAATTATTTCTACTTTTATCATTCTTTCTTTACTTGTGACAAATTGATTCATTCAGAATACAAATAACATGTGGAATTTCTCCTGTAAATTCATCTTGATCGTGATAAGCACGAAATAGTGTCAAACAATTAAAACCTGTAGAGAAATCTCATCACTCTAACAGTCCACACTCTACAGAACCGGAGACACCCAAGGTTATGTGCATAATCCCACGCTTGAATTAATTACTGGCAGTACTAAATGTATGTATGTATGTATATATATATATATATATATTTTCCTTGTAACATAGGGAGGAGGAAAATATGTATGCATTTATGAGAATTGCATGATTCCCCGATCGATAAGAGTATTTTTAAGAGAGGGTATTCTGCTTCATTATACGGTCTCCCACGTAAGAATTTTGTTTACAATAGGCTTGACATCACAAGGAAGAAGACATTTATCCAAGTAGGTCGCCATGAGCAGGTTAAAGTGATAGAAAAGTGTTCTCGTCTTTCTCGCTTTATTGTTATTTTGTCACGTTTTTTACATTGTATGTCGTCTCAGGTAATTTTTGTGTGATTTTGTTATTTGTTTTCTTTCATTTTCTCTTAATTACGAATATTTTAAATTATTGCAATAAAAAAATGATTTGGTATTAGTTACTTTTAAGTAACTTTCACCAAGAATTCTTAATTGATAGGCTACTTACAATGGGAGAAGCTCAACTGTGACCTTGTTTTTCTTTCAAATTACGCTTGAAAATCCCACCTGTGAACAGAATTTAAAACATTAAACATTCCTCAATCATGTTTTAAATATTAATTTATTTAAATATTATTAAAAGCCGAGTATCGCTCGGTAATTGGACGAGTAATGCGCGCTAATCACGTGATTGGTGTTGACAAATACCGCGGCCGGGTTTCGAATTAAATCGGTGGGGACGAGGCGCCAATCGAACCTAACACGGGACTCGAACGGCCGGTCGATAGTCGACCCCGCGACAGCGAAACAGAGATAGCGATCGATATCCGCGACCGAATAAATGCGATAAATTCCTCTCGCCGGACGGATTCGGCGCCGTAGGTAGCACGATAATAGAAAGTAGTAGAAAAACTCACCCTGGACGAAGAGCTTGACCACTCCGTCTTTGCGTCGCTTTCCGTTGACGGCGCACGAATATTCTCCGCTGTCCTCCGTTCGCACCCGACGAAAGTATAGGGTGTAGGTGTTGGGCAGTATGGACACGTGCGAAGCGGCTTCCCACGTGGACTTGTGCTCCCCCTGAATATCCACGATTTTCTTGTCCTCCTTCCACCATTCGATCCGATGCACCGTTTTGGCATCCACCACCTCCCTGCACTGGATGGTGACGTTGTGTCCGACCTGAACGTATATGTGATCCACTTCATCATCTGCGGGATAGCAAACGGGGGGGGGAGTGTGAGAGGATGAGTGAACGTTTTTCGAACGGAGTTTTAAGAGAGAAAATCGCCCTCCCCACCGAGTGACGAGAGCGTTAATACACGTAATAATTTTCCTCCCCGTCTTAATTAGACCTTAACGAGGACAACCGATGTGAATGACTAAGTAATTGCTACACTTCCAAGAAACGTTTTCGATCGTTTAAACTCGAACTAACGAAATGCGAAGGGTCAAAAACGATAGTTAAACGACCCCGGGGTTAGAAAATCCGCCAGATAACAACACCCTCCCCCCCGTAAGGCGGAAATCGATAATTCTCCACGCCTTAACCACGGTAATAGTTACCGGGTGCACGGATAAACCCTCGGAGTCACGGAAAATCGATGCTGAAACTCGGCGACGTTCTCTCTCTCTCTTCTAGCCGGTTAACCGAGAGAGAAAGAGAGAGACGTCCCCCCCGAACAAAAACTATGCGGAGAAAGTCGACAGGAAACATAGGTTTGGCGTCACGAACTCTCCACGACACGGTTTATTACCGTCGGACTACCTAAAAACGGGAGCAACACCACTCCCAACACGGCACACAGAGAGTGGGGGGGTCAGAGGTGAAGATACGGATCGTGATAGGCTTCTCCGCTAAATCGTGCATGCGATACAGCTGCCGTCTTAGCCCGGAGGCTTCACGATCTCGACTAGAGACAGATGGTAGGAGGGAGGGACTACCTACCTCCATTGTGTTCCGAGTGTGAATGTTATCTGGGGAGGGGGGGTGAAGCGTCCAACCCCGGTAAATATTTCGGGCCCGCGTGGGCCGAAAATCGATAGCGTGTGTATGTACGTGTGACGTCGGGAAACACGGAATGTTGTTAGTGTCTTTTTGGGGCCTTCGATCGAAGGACAGTCATCCGGAAAGGGACAGCTCCGTAACGACACACGGGTTAAGTGTGGGTTGCGTGAAAAAATGGTGCAGTAATATCCACCCGGCCGAGTCGATAACCTTTTATTTTATTTTTTTTTTTTTATAAATACCCCATTGGAGCGGGATCTTCCGAAGTCTTTAGAAAAGCGGGGTGATCTTCTCCCACAATCTGACACAAACGAAGGACATTAAGCTGAAGTGGCATATCGAGACGAACCTTTAATAGGCGTTCGTTGTCGGACTACCGGGTCGGACAATAGCCCCGACACTACTCGTCACCCCCGTCATTAACCGAAAAGGAAAAGCTAAACTTTCCGGGGGGAGGGCGTAAGATTTGGGTCATACGCTACCGAAGAATCGGGAGAATGCCGGATAAATCGATTTTTCCCCGCTCGCACACACACACACACACACACACCATATAAAATATACAAAGCCGAGAGGGACCCCGCGCATCGGCAGTGACGTAAGCGGGGAGTGTGTGTGTGTGTGTTGTGTTGTGGGGGATCGGTGGGTGGGATGCGATGGCCCCCTCCGCAGTTCTTTATTTTCTAATTATCCAACGGGATGATTACACTTCCTTATTAAGTCGTGTGCTGAGAATGTCGCTACACGCGAGAGAAACCCGAGCGGGCACGGAATGCCAAAATGGCCACTGGGTTTATATAGTGACGTGAGGGGGGAGGAGAGCGAGATCGGTTACGCGACGTTTCCGAAAGCCGAAACGTCACACCAACGTGACGTTGCGTCGGGAAATTCGGACGGGACCCGAAAGAATTCGGAAATATCACGGATCCGGTCGCATCCGAAACGTTTACCACCAAAACCGCGAGGGGGCGGGCGGAGGTTTTTATATTTTTTAGGGGTTTTTTCGGAGGTTTACCGACACCTACCTCTGTAATGTATTCCCTGTGCGATCCATATTAGTAAGTAGATGACTGGACAAAGTCGCAACCTTTGCCAGATCATTATCTAGAATTCCGTAGGGGAAGAAACCATCTTTTTCTACCTTATTTCCATCGAAGTATCGTTCGAAACGACAGAATATTTTTCTTTTAAATCCGGCAAAACAAGAACATCGCGTCTACATCCACATCCCAGTTCGGCTGGCAGCCAACTGATCGTCTGCCGCTCTCGCTCCGTTTCTCCGCTTGGTGGCGCCTCTCGGGCTGTAGAAAATCGAACTTTATCGACCCGAACCTTTAATCATCGCTAGAATAAATCGTCTCGACTTAATAAACAATTCTAACCCGATCGATTTATCGATACGCTGTCGGAAAATTAAAAAAATAAATAAAAATAATTTCGCGCGGATATTAATACGCAGCAAAAATTCCATCGATAAATTTCTTTTAATTTAAAAATTTTTTTTTTCGAGATTTAATTAAAAAAAATTATTATTTTTTAAATCGAAACGCTCCCTCTGACGTCCGTTTCGCGAAAGTCGAGCGGCATGGTTGCGCTTAATTTAAAAGTATTTTTATCACAAAAATGTTATTTATCTACTAAAATATACAGTAGAATTTAAAAAAAAAATTAAATTTCATTAACATAGAAAAATTTTTTAAATGAGAGCACATAATTTCCTTCGATTTACTGATATAGATATAACATTATCTTTTATATACTTATATATAGGTACAATTATACATTTATTCCGGTTAGAGATAAGATAAATTGAATGATTAAACTAGTTTATTCTTCATAAAAGAAACTTTAATATACCTTAGGTAATTTTTTTTAAAAAATACAAAAAATATTTTATAAAATCAAGCCCATAGATGGCACCACCAGTAATTTTTTTAATTATTAATTAAATACCTTTTTTTCTTATTAATAATTNCTACACGCGATGCCGCCATCTTGATCACAAAGTTTCATTATTTATACAAATATTTAGGTATTTTTTCACCCGTCGGCAGTAATACAAACACTAGTGAATAAAAATAACACTAGGAAATGAAATTTTAAGTTTTTAATAATGTTTAAAATTTAAAAAAATACTTTCCGTGAAGTATTTATTTTAGTTTGCGATAGATGGCGACACTAAAAATTAATTTTTTAAAAATTTATATTAATTTAAAAAACTATTTATAACTAATTTACAAATTATAAAAACATGACGTTATGATTATTTAGTCGTATATTAATTAATAATTAAACATATTTTTAAAATAAAAACAAAAATTTTTAAATAATCGATAAAATTTACCGCTAGCGTTCTGCCATCTGTCGACCGTAATATTTATAATTTTGAAAAATTTATTTTTGCTTTCAAAAATTAATTGTTATTTCATTAAAATATGGCATTGAAAAATGTATTTTATTGCTTAGTCTTTTAAAATGTTAAAAATAAATAAAAATTCTTCATTAAAAAAATAAATAAAATACGAAAAAAAATTGTCCCGCTCGACTCGCTATCTGGTGGACATTTTTATAACTATTATATTTCGATATAAATATTTTCTCATATATAAAAATTATATTTTAAATTAGAAATGTTTTATAATGAACATTTTAAAATAATATACTTCGATATATATTTCCTTATTCGCCTTACAAAGCATTAAAGTATATAATATCGTTCTTGTTGCTTATAACGACGAGCATCCTCATTACATTCACTTACATAAGACTAAGTAATACTTCAATTTTGGATAAGAAAATTATTTATAACGTCTTTATTATGAGAAATGCCTAATTTATCAATTTGTTAAGCGTTTTCTATAGTGAAAAATTACATTTATAATGTAAAAAGTGGATTTAATGACGGATGAGCGCGAGATAAAATCTCTTATGTCAATTGTTTTACGCTACTGTACTTACAATCTATCATTAATTTTATGTAATTAATGTTATTTTTGTTATCTTTATTCATTTATAAACTTTCTGACAAGTTAAAAGTGGTAGAAAACTCGATTTTTGAGGTTCAGGAAGACATTTTCATTCAAAGGTACCGTTGAATAACTTCGGATACAACGTCGCTAACTAATTCCATAGGAAATTTAGCAGTATAAGAAGGAAATCCATTCATTTTTTAATCGTGTTTATGTTAATTTTAAACTTTATACTGTCAAAATGTCTGCGAAATGTACGATTTCCACTAACTTTATGCTACGTGTTACAGATATTAACGACTTCCGGTCGAATTTCCGGGAAAAATGTATTGTTTTCGAATTTAGTATGGTCAAGGCTAGATTTAAGCCATTTAAGATGATGCCCCTAAGCTCTGACTTATCCAGCTTATGCATAAATCCAACAGTAAGCACAGTATACTGTGTCTTTTGCATAGTTTTCTTTATACTTTATCTCTATAGAAAATATCATCTATAGAAAAGACCCTATTAAAAGTATATATAGTCATATTAGCTTTAATTATGGATCGTGTCGGAAATTATAACATCTTTCTATGCCAACCAGTTGTACAAATTACGTAATAGATCTTTTATCCAATAGGATATTTTGTCACTATTTATCAATCAATTAATCTTTCAAAGCAAGCTGCCAGCACCTTCAGTTAAACAGAAAAGGAGGAGGGAAAAACCAATTAATCTCTTGTTCTAACGGATTTATTTCTTAAATTAATTAATTCAATTTATCCAATCGGAGATTTTCTTATATATTTTAATCGAATCACAGGTCACCTTTTTTTTAAATTTGTGTTTTTTCAGAGATCGCAATTGTAGACATGTCCTAAACAGATAGAACGTTTTGACCCGTATAAAAAGTGTTATAAATGAAAACTCACAGGACTACCATAGGATGCAAGAAAAAAAATCCAGCAACGAATTGCTTAACTTTCCCGGCAACATTTAAATCTGCATGCGTGGTGCCATCTATTACGATATTTTGTTATTAAAAACTTTTTATATTTTTAATTATTATAAAATGGCAAAAAGCCGAATTTTGAGAGTAGGAATGGGTTTTTATAAAAATTATAAATGCTAACGATGAGTAAAATTATCACTAAGTCCGACTCTACAGGAGATACGACACACGACACCCTTTTATCTCCCAAACCCGTCGAGCTTTAATCACCAAAATTTAATAGCATCGACCCTCCTAATACACAAACCTCCTAGCAAAATTTCAGAAATTTTCCACAAAAAGCACGGGAGTTATTAAGCTTCAAAGAGGGTGAATAAAATCGTGACATACTTGACAAACCATAACACTTCCTTGTCCACGTTTAACTATTGTTGGATCCTATTAATTCGTTTTATCGAGGAACAACGGAAGTGAGAAATTTATCTGTTTACACTCGTATAAGAGAAACGTAACACAACAAAGAAACGCGAATTTAATTCAAATTTAAACAAGTAATTACGACAAGTTACTTACAGACTGACAACCTAATGTTCGTATTCAAAGATCAGTGACTAGCGTAATCCTTTATTAAAGCAATTATTAAAAGGTACAAAGGTTTCGTTGATTTGTATTTAAATTCTGTAATAAATATACACAGAAAATTACGTCTTCAATTTCCTCCTCTAAAAAATAAAAAAAAAAAAAATAAAATTATTTATAAAAATATGAAAACCTAAATTTAGAAAATCAAATTGTTAACTAATTTATTATTTAAAATAATTAAATTTAAACTTTAAGTATACCCTCTACCTCCGATAAACACACGTTAAAAGACCTCTTCGGCATCCGAGTGGCCCGTGCTCGTTATCATTGAGGGATTTGGTGGGGCCTCTTGTTTACGAGGCCTTACCAAATAAAATCCCAGGCTCAAAGAAGTCTTTTGTTACCATCGGTAGAATTTGCGACTTTATTCTCGGTGGCAAAAAAAAATTTCACGAAATCGAATGCAAACTTATGCAAATGACTCACCTGGATTACGGATTATTCACAAAATGGATAATCAAAATAATTAATAAAATTGGGAATTGGAATTTCCGACTTTCCTCTCCTCCCTTCTGGGGATAGACTAAATTTTTCAAATTTTTTTGTAAATTAATTTTCTAGAGAATAAAAAAAACAACTTTGAAATTGTATTCTCTGCTTACCAATAGTGAATCTCGAAGGGGGAGAAGACATTTTCCCGTCTCCCCCCAAACTGTAGGCCAAAACTCTTAAAGTATACGTTATCCCGAACTTGAGACCGGAAATTTTAACTTCCAAATCTTCTCCGTCAAGACACTTGATGACGTCAGTGGCATTGGCCAGGTCTTGTCCAGACACCCAATATCGTACCTGTACGGGAAAAACAATAGAGAGCAAATTTAAATCTTAATTAAGCTGTACAAAACTTGCAGTTTGGCGATCGAAACGCGCGGTATGCGGTTTTACCGCGTGTTAATATTAATTCGAAGGGCCATACCCCCCAAAAAAATAGGAATTAAAACAAGAGAGAGATTTACCTTGTATCCCATAATCGGTTCTTCTTCGGTAGAGGTTAACATCCCTCTCCATCTAACGGATGCGGAAGTAAACGATACAAATTTAACGTTAACGTTGGTCGGGGCCCTTTGCGGCGCTGAAATTAACGGATTTCTTAGAATAAATTACGTAAAATTTAAAATTTTAAGCGCGTAAACAAAGCATTACCCATTTTATAGGTTCGGGCCAAGAATTTTTCGCTTTCAACCCCGCTTCCGGCGTCGTTATAGGCCATGACAGACACCCAATATTCCGTGAACGGTCTCAATCCGACGATCAGACCCCAGGGCGTAGTGCCCCAATTTAGCAAAATTAACGAGTCTGTTTCGGGGTTTTTGTCCTTTATCCAGTATTTGATCTAAAATGAATTGAAATTAATTAAAATGAACGTAATAAGGAAGTTAGCGCTGCTTTGTTGGCCATTGTTTACCCTGTATCCAATAAGTTTTCCTCCGACTTTCTCGCGGGTCATGTCTATTGGATCCCAAGAAACGTTCAATGACGTGGAATTAAATGGAAGAGCCTTGACGTTGATTGGCCGAACCTGGGGCACTACGAAACAAAGAAGAATTAACCAGGTTCAAGTGTTACAGCTGTGTAGAAAAGTATAGGCTTACTTCTTCCTGCCGAATACACTGTAACCGCATCGCTGATTGGTCCCGGGCCTAGGTCGTTAATGGCTTGAACTCTGACCTGGTATTTTAAGTAGTAATTCTCTTCTCCTACATTGACAGTATACCAACCGTTAGTGCGAACATCTTTCAAGTCTATCCGGTAATATTCTTCTTTCGATCCCAATTTTCTATAATAAACATTATACCAGATGTTTGGGGCATTCCAGTCCACCATCGGAAGAGGCTGCAAATTTGCATGACTGTTTATATGAAATTGTATGAACAATGTGAAAGGAAACAAACGTTCTTACACTCCACGTTATGGTGAGAGTTCCGACGTGTCCACCTCCTCCCCCCACGTTACTGGGGGTTTTGTATGGTTTGTCATTTCCGGTGGGGTAAGTGGGACTAGCCAAACTGGGTGGTCCCCTCCCGATTTCGTTAATGGCAGAAACACGGAAACTGTAAACGTTCCATGGTGACAGTACGTTTTCTAGAAACAGTCTTCGCCGGCCATTGTATTGATCCACATTGGTTTTGGATATTGAAGCATCTAACAATAGTAACACAGGCCACTGTTATAATTGTCTACAAAAGTAAAGTGTCAAAGGAACTTACTGATGAGAAAGCTCCAAGTTTTGTTGTGTTCCGTGTAACCTTCTACTACGTAATGATGAATGGGGCGCCCATTATCGGTACCGTCGCTCCAGTGTATGAATCCAGATGTGATGGACAGATCATCGGCCAGCACGGCAGCCGGTGCAGCCGGAGGAGCTGAGGGTCAAAGGTTAAAATACAACGATATTGTTAACCAGAGGGATTAGCGATGGACAAATACTCACAATACTCACCCAATACTACCAATTCGGTCGAGGCGTTGACGGATCCCAAGTATGTTTTGGCTAAGCAAGTATAAACGCCCGCTTGGGCCAGGCTGATGTTATTTATGTCCAAATAACCGGCGTTATCACCCTGCAATTGTAAGTAGTTTTACACGAATACAATGGAACAGATGATGTGGTAGATTTACTTACCACGGAATATTCTTTCTGCATTGTAAAGTCGATTCTTAAGCCGTTCAAGTACCAAATGTATGCAACTTCTAGTAGAGGACTCACTCGAGCTTCGCATTTTAAGGTCAGGTTGGTGTTTATTTTGGCTGTCATAGTACGAGGGGGGAACTCCCTCAGTGATGGATAAGCTAATATGTAAAAGTCGTTGATTAATATCAACTTACCACAGATACAACACTATAAATCCGTAGTTTTTAACCTGGTTTATGTGTCGCACTGATGGAGCCTGTCTAAAAAAGTGTATACATACTTTGATGACCTCTGGAATGAAACTTACAATTTTGAAATGAGGCCTCATTTCAAAATTGTAAGTTTCGGGTTTGAATATGGGGTTATTGGAGTATGTATACATTTTGAGACACTAGATATACAGTAGTAGTATATGATGATACTATTATATAAGGGTGATGATAATAGCAAAAGTATTTTGGCACCATCATCATATGTAAGTTTACTTGATTAAGGAATAAATAAAATTATAATTACGTAACACTACTAAACGTCCACTACTTTTAGCGGAACCATATCTGTTAGTTGCTTCGCACGTGTAAATTCCTTCGTCTAGGAACCTGGCGGATTCAATATGAAGATATCCGTTATCCTTGATGCGAAATCTTCCTCCAGATACAGCTTTACCATTGTGGCTCCAAGAATATTTGGGAGGAGGGACAGCTTCCGGACGACAAGGAATGGTAAGATTGCCACCTTCCGCAACGTACACATCCGGTTCTAACGGGTATTTGATGAAATTTGGAGCGAGAGCTGCAAGAATAAATGGTTATAGACGCTACAAATCATTACGATTCGCGTAAAAAAGAAGGAGAGTCGTACTAACAAAGAATCTTCAACCTCCCGCTAGAGATGACGACACCTAACTCATTTTTTGCCCTACACTGGTAGGTGCCTTTATCCTCTTCTGACACTTCGTCTATGATAAGAACGTTATCCTGTATTCTGTAGCGATTTCCGTAACCGAAACTGGACATATTGGACTTCAATCTATTTCCGTTTTTATACCAAGAATATTCCACTTCCGGAATTCCGTACGCTTCGCACTTCCATTTCAACTGCGAACCGGAATCCAATATGGCGTCTTCCAAAGGAATGGTAAATTTGGGAAATGCTGCAATTGGATTAGACAAAGTAAGAAAAACAAAGCAATTCACCGGTGGCTTGAAGCTGGGATTATCAAATATTCTATTATTAAATTAAATACTATTAAAATGACGATACCTTCTAAGCTCAGTTTAATGGAGGTTTCGATGGATTCCTCTTCGTTGTAGGCTTTGCAAACGTATTTTCCTTGATCTTCCTCTTTCACGTTCGATATTATCAACACTCGGTTGTAACTTTTTAGATTAGAATTTTTGGGCAATTCATTCCTACGGCCTTCTCTGGTCCACTTATAAAATGGCGTCGGACTACAAATATATAGGATTACAATTTTAATTAAGTCTTAATTTAGCGTGTACGAGGGGGGAAATATTTATCTTTGGGAGGCTCATTACAGGCATACGCTTCGCCAGAGTATGCTGTATGTCTGTATGTAAAATTTTCTATACTTGTGCTTGTTTCTAGAACCTGTATTTGGTGGCCGTTTGATAAAACTTCTTATATTTTTCAGACCTAATATTCTACTAGAATTTATACCTGTTTTTGGTATATTTTCCATGAAATTTTCAGAAACTGCAAGGTTCTAGGCTTTTCATTAGGGCCTTGGCATCTACTATTAACTATAATACACTTGTAAAATATCGAGTATGGTGCAGGTTTTAGATTATATAATATAAAAGGCTTGTCACTTAATATTTATATCTTACAAATGCGGAAGTTGGATTTTTAATTTAAGAAAAAGAATTTTACAGAATTTACATGGGTTACTCTACTAAAACCAAAATTTCTAGCTTATTAAACTTCTACAGGGTGGTTGAAAAGTAACTAGGCGTTGTATTGTTCATATTCCTACTGCAAATACAAAACATGAACTGTACCTTATTAAAAGAAAATATGGAGACATAATGCATTATTATTGTAAAAATTATAGTGCTTTCTCAATGCTTAGTTACTTTCAAACCGCCCAGTATTTGATAATATAACTTAAATATTGAGATTATTTTAAAGTATATTAATTAATTAATGCTTTTATCCAATAATTTAGTTTTAAATTGTTAAAAACTTATAAAAAAAAATTAAAAAAATACTTGATGAGAAATGCTAATTAGAACTTACTATCCGTATGCCATACATTCCAATCGAACGTCATTACCAACCGTAGGATTATCAGGAAAAATCTTTAAGAAATTATTTGGAAATTGTAACTTTTGTTTACTGGCTGTCAATAATAACACAAGAATTAATCATTTAAACAAATAAAATATTTTTCAAACTTACAATTATAAAAGTAAACTAGTCTTTGTCTAAGTATTAAAGAGTTTCTACACAAACAATCTCTATGTATGGGGTAATTTTCTTTCTACTAGCAGAGAAAGCGTGTTAATATATCTGATGTTATGTGTGAACGCGAGTACAGGCAAGACACAAAGTCTATACAAAGAAAACAATATTTTAATACGAGTAAAGTCTACATACAAGCTTCCAAGTGTTTTGTAGGGTATTTTCGAATCACTTTGTACTCAGTATTTTTTTGATTACAGTAGAGCGTCGTTTATCCGAATCAATTGGGGACTGGAGTTGTTCGGATAACTTATTTTTCGGATAACCGATTACGCACGAAAAAATATATTAACCTATCCCGTGTTGAAATTTTTCTCCGTTGCGTGTCGCTTCGCGTTGAATTTTCTTCGATGTTAAGCCTAACGTAAAGTTTTTAAAATAATAATCGTGGCTGTTGTATCGTTAAAAATGATTTCTTTATGTTTTACAAACGAAATAAATACATTGAAAAATATAAAAACAAATAAAAATTATACTTTAGGCCGACTGGAATTCTTTCGGATAACCGACTTTCGGATAAACGACGCTCTACTGTAATTACAATAAGATGACGTGTATTATTTTGAAAAAGACGAATGTATTTTACGTACAGTACTTTACCTTTAGTACTCCCCTTAGCATTTACAATTTTGTACCATGCTAGAGAACAATGAAATATATAGACTATAATGGCCGTATGTTAGAGTTTTGGTACCTAAATTGATGTAAGCTAATGACATATAGATGTAGTATGGCATGGGTCTAAAAGAAGCGCACTCTCCATTTTCTAGAACAAGCTCCAAGAAGGGAAAATGCACGATTGAATGTATGCACGTATTTTGTTACTATTGTGAAGTAGTATGTTTGATTCGTTTTACGTCCTGCAAACTTTTACGTGTAGTATAGGAAAAGGAAATTCATGCATACGAAAATAACAAGAAACTTACTCGCAGGTTGCACTTCTAAGTAGAATTTGGGTCCTATGCGACCGTCATCGGTGATGGGATTCTTGACCATACAGGAATAATTGCCTTGATCGGCTTTCTCCACAGAAGAAAAGTATAAAGTCCCGTCAAACGAGGAGAAAACTCTTCGATCCTCTTGTACGAAACTGGCAAATTTGTCTCTGTTCCAGGCGTAGAAAACACCTGCAATTAGAAAGTCGATGGAATTCTTTCGTACTGTACGAAAACAATTTCAGTCCTTGTTTTGGTTGCTTACTTGGATAAAACCGAGGAGCATTGCAAGACAAGGCCTTCCCCCAGTTTTCTTTCCCGTATTCCATCTGCCTACTTTTGGGAAATTCGACGTTATCTGGAAGTAAAACGTAATACTGTATACGAAATGACACGTGCTTTATTACTTCATGTCTGGTCTGTCAACTTCATTGTATGATTGATAAAGATTCCTTAGGAGTAGGATTTTTTTACAGCAAATACCCGGCTCCTTCGGCTTCATTCGTAAGTCTATTGTCAAAACCTAAAATTTATTACAATGAAAATACTTACTTCCAAATGTCAACTTGACAATTGGGCTTTTGACGAGTCCGTATTGGTTGGATGCGATGCAAAAGTATTGTCCTCTGTCGATATTCGGACTTGGATCGAGGATCTGAAGAGTTCCGTCCGTCTGTGTGTAACGATAATCCGAGAGAGGATCGACTGTTTTGTTCACAATTTCGTCCCTCCTGTATTCTGCCTGTAATTAAACAGAAAAATTTGGCAAACACGAAAGAGGAATCGAGAATCGTTTTAACGAGAACAATGAACCAAAACAATCGGTAACACAAGCAATAACACGCTAGTGCTGGGAATTACAATAAGAAACGGATGAACAGAGAGAAGAGAAGAGGAAAAGATAAGATTAAGACCGGGACATTACAGTCATGAATGCCAAGAGAATGGTAGAGAGAATAGGTGAAATATTCATCTATTAGATCTCTTCCCCAAACACTACAAGAGCCAGATTTCTGTAGTGTTTCTTTTCTACTGTCAATCTTATCCCTTGCGTTTTAAGATCATCCTACCATTTTCTTCTAGGACCTAGAAGAAAATTACACTACAGAAGTTTGGTTCTTGTAGTGCTTGATGGCGAAATACCTGATGACAATAGTTATACCACGTGGTATGCAATCTAAATCAATTGTTTAGTAATTTGTACTTAATTTCTCCCTAGAATGAAATTAAATTAAATGAATTTGTGATCATAAGAGGAAATTATTATCCAATAATTTCCTCTTATGATCACAAATTCTCAAGATATTCCAGCATTGTTTTGTCTTCTTCGTTCTTCGATACAATGATGATGGTAATTTCAAAAAAGAATTAAAATTAAGTAGGTTAGAGATGGCAAGAGGGTAATACAAGAAAGTCACCTTATACCAGACGTAATTGGGTAGAGGATAACCGTCAGCTGCACACTCGAATACCACCACTTTTGTACTGTGTCGAGAAACTACCGCCGATTCGGGGGTTTTTATAAAACGTGGCCCTCTCGGAACTTTTTCTTCGTTCAACACGTTTACACCGTAACCTGAAGAAGAAAAATATGCAAATTAACTGTGTTTCGTCAGAAAATGGTATCAAATAGTTCAGGTAACTCGCTTCCATTGTCTAGATTTCGGTAAAATGACGTCACTGAAATTAAGTGACTTCAAAGACTAGTAAACACTAGAGTTTTATTATGAATTAATAACAGAATATCTACTGTAGATGTACTGTGTGTTTACCTAATGCACTGTATTTATCTAATTAGTGATGTTTATTATATTGTAATGTAGGCCTACTGCAGTGCATCGTGTTTTCTAGTGTAAACAGCTGTAATGCATTGTGTTTTTAGTGTAAACTGCTGTAGTACGTTGAAAGCTTAGTGTAGTTAGTGTACTACATCGCACTGTATTTAGTGTACTGTGGTTACTTACCAATATATCTTTCCAATGGAATTTCGTGCGAATTTTTCTGATGAATTTCGCAGATGAAAGGTAATTGTTCGTCGGAAAACACCGGAATTAATCCCGATTTTTTGGCCGAAGAAGAATAACTGAAAAATAATTACAATTATCTTCGAATCTATAAAATATAAAGAATATTTCGTAATGCCATTGTCTTAACCCCTTCTTCCTCGAAACACAAATTATTCTTTCTAATTGGTTAATTTACCACGTGGAAGTATTGTTACGTCAAAAACGTCGTATGATTGGAATCCATTCGTCATATTTTACGTGTTAAATTACAACTCACGAATTATAAAAATGAACTTTACTTACGTATAAGCCGCATTTCTTCTTTGGCCAGGATCGTAAGGAGGATCCAAGAAGAAATCGAAATTTATATAACTATTGTCTTCTCCTTCCCAATTCCAACTGTTTACGCGTAAAATTCCACTGGTGTACCATCTGCAAAAACACTCCGGAATTTTCATTTAAGAAGAACCAGCGTAATTAAACTGAAAAGTAATTGTTACCTGCGATAAAAGGGATCGTTTTCCGTTAACCATTCCTCAATGAACCGAAATTCTTCCGAGGAACTGATAGAAACCAATTGGGCATTGTAGAAGTCGCATTGTAATCGAGCTGACTGGTAATCCAGAGTGGGGTAGCGCACGAATTTGTAACAGTGTTCGTTGTACGGAATCCACTTCTTGGGACATTCATGACCGTAGACTGAAAAGATACCATGATAAATTTTTAAAAAGTAGGTGTAAATATTAATTTTTTAAAATCAAAATTTCGTTATCTTACCTACGGACCACAGGCACAAACAGTAGAGTGTAACAGTTGAAAGCGCATGCTGAAACATCTGTTTAAAATATCAGATTATCTTACAAGTACATTTATATAGAAATACAGATGTGTAGTGTGACATAATAGATACAGTGACGTTACTATCATTTGTGTAAGGTGCAATTGCACAAGGGTCCTGGTCTCTGTTTTATTACTTATAATCATTCTCACATTGGTGAGGAGGGAACTTCAACTGAAGAGATGGCCCAATTCATTGTTACCTTAGGCGTAGTGTTCATCAAAACAATATAGTAAGTAGTTTACTATTTCTAAGACGAATAAATTACAGCTTAAAATTTTTTGTGTATTAAGCTGTGTAAATTACAGAAAGCCCAATGGGGCTCCCGTTTTGAAAAGGTTACGCCACCGAATAGATGCATTAGTATCATCAAATACGATAGATGTACTGTTACGATAGTGTAAAAGGTCTCGCCTGTCTGAAAAGCTCCCGAAAGGACACGAAATTAATTTTAAAAAATTAATTTACAAACACTAGTGCGAAAACACCGTACATTCGAACTAGTTTCACCCTTATAAACGCACAAAAATTATACAGAATAGTGAATAGAATACTAAGAGATAGTGTTTGCTCGTCACTCGTTACACTAATTAAAAAATTATTATTACACTAATTAATAATATAATAATTGTTCTGTGTAAAGGTGTGTATACTTAATCGTCTTAAATTACTCTTCAGACACTTTCGTAACACGTAATTCGAACAATACATATTGTTACGTACCTTACAGAATGGAAATTTATATAAATGGGTAAATTCGTTTAAAGAACGTCTAGGAAAAAAAAGCGATCACGTAATTATTTTTCCACGAATTATTTTTTCATTTTGTCTTCCGTAAACAAATTCGTTGTGGTGTTAAATACCTCGATTTTGTTTTTAAAATTTGTTTTGAATGATCGAGATTCCGATCGTCTCCTATTAAATAATAACAATACAGTCGACCCCCATAACACTGTTGATTTTTCCGTTTTATATGAATTTCATGTTGTACGAGTCACTTAGATTTTACAAATACATTAGCCGTTCACAGCCTGGCACATGTAGGCCTATTTGTAAAATCTAAGTGACTCGTACAACATGGAATTCATATAAAATGGAAAAATCAACAGTGTTATAGGGGGTCAACTGTATATTTAGAGCTCGCGCTAACGGAAGCTGCGGAAAATTACTTTCTAGAGCAGCTATAGAAATTACATTATCTACAGAGGCTTTAACAGTCTTTTCAATATGACGCCATTTTTTCACACTGGTTATAAAGGCAGAAATGATGTCATATTGACGTAAGTGTATAGTAGTGTTTTACGAAAAAGACACAGTTCGTCCGCCATTTTTTTAACCTATTACGTAGAGCAGGATTTCTAACGGCATTCTCTTTAGTTTCTAACACACGAAAATGACGTGTACGCAGAGAGTCCATATTGAAAAATGTCGACATACGTCCGTTGTATTTATTAAATTGAATACAGTCGACCCCCCCATAACACTGTTGATTTTTCCGTTTTATATGAATTTCATGTTGTACGAGTCACTTAGATTTTACAAATACATGAGGTGTTCACAGCCTGGCACACGTATTTGTAAAATCTAAGTGACTCGTACAACATGAAATTCATATAAAACGGAAAAATCAACAGTGTTATAGGGGGGTCGACTTGTATTGTTCTTTCAAAAGGGGGTGTAAATTCGAATCATTTTTTCCTTCTGTAAGATCTCCCCGTCCGAGATTCTCTAGAATTTCATTCCTAAACCGCAAAAAAAAAATTCGTAATCATTTGTTAAAACTGCACTTAGTATTGTTTTGTCTACGAATAAATGACGGTGCTTTTATATTGTTTTTTTGTCGAATAAATGACGGTGCTTTTATATTGTTTTTTATAATTTTTTTATAACCGGCTCTGGATTTCGTTTCTGTAAACTCACGCGTATCTAAATAAGGTATTTAATTAATATTTTCTTGTAAATCAATAGTATTTACAATTCTTCCAACACGAATTACGATTGGACGAAACCGAATCGGGTTAATATACCTAACGTATCGGATTAAAGTTTATATGAACAAACAGCAGGTGGGACTTGGTCATCGAGTTCGACTCGTGTCCATTGTAATCGATTCCTTTAAACACCAGAATGCTCTAACAATTAGTAAAATATTAATCTATATTTAAAAAAAAACAATAGAACGAAAGTTTAGATACGTACCGCAGACGAAAAACCCTCACGAATTAGGTATAAAACGTTCGATCGCATTCCACCTCAATGGTGCAGATTATTCCGAAATTTACGAGTCATCACAAAGTAGCATTTCCTAAATTATTATTAATTTTTATGTTTTAGTATTTATTATCGTAATTTATTGGAAATTTCTCTCACACGATAAGTGCTTACTTACATCTGTAATTGATTTTCTTTAGGTTATGAATAAATTTGAGTTTTGGAACTTTTTAAACGTCCAGACAACCGACATTACGACAGCGACTGAAGGGTATTGGGTATTCGAACTGTTCTGCATCAACAGAACAGTTCGAATACCCAATACCCTCAATGTTCTTTAAAGGATAATTCATTATATTTTTCTTCATCTAAATAAAATTGGTGAAAATGTTATTATAATTTAAATAAATAAATGATTAAATTTACAGACAACGGCCACCAGGCGACTTTACGGCGCTTCCATGCGTTTTTGTGCAAATTGCTTTTTTAATACCGAAATATTTAACAACAGGGAGGGTAAGTCTATCCCGTATACGTCGGGTCCCTTCCCTCAATACCAATGACAAGTACGATTAAAAAGGTCCTCTTTAGTGCCCACAGGGCGAAGAGACAAAAATAAAAAAATACTAAGCTATTTTTACTAGCTTTATGCCAATTTACACTCAAAATTAATTTATAACTCTTAATGGGCTGCAATTTGAAAAAATTTTAGATTTTTTTAAAACTCTTTCTGCTCTGTAGACACTAAGAGGGCCTTCTTTTAGCAAGCCCATTATGGGTTCGGCCAAGCCCACAATGGGGCGGCCGGATGGACGAGGTCCGATCCCGAAAAATTCCTGAGGATTTTTCGATTGTAGACCTATAAATTCCCACTTTTCGTCCGTCCGTCCGTCCGTCCTTAATCTCGGGCAAGGATAGTCTCTACGACTACGTTACGCTAGATACGAATGTCCTCGTATAGTACATAACATACTAAACGATATTCGTCGCGTCCGGCACGTTCGATGTCTAAATACGAACGAACCTCAACTCGTATAAGAACTCTCCACTCGCGTGTAAAATCGTAAGTGTAAACACTAGCGGTGTCCACCAGCCTAGTTTCTTGTAGATTCTTACAGAAACTACGTCATTGGACGAAGATCTTCGGTAGTCCCCGCTTGTTTTTATCTATCTTCAAGCCTTTTGTTACACCAAATTACTTGTTGAGTCAAATTTAATTTATCATTTCTGCGCAAATAATCGTATTTCTTCACCAAAAACTTTGATTCCGGCACTCTTAAGTTGCTCTTCTGTAACGAACGGAAAGAACCCAATCTCTAAGAAATGATAAAGGTGGGTCGGGCCTAATGTCAATATCCAGTTTTTACGAGGTGCCAATAATAGATCAAGAATTGGTAATGGTACAAAGCACGTTTGCGCGATCTTACGTTTCGTTAAAACACGAAAAATACCCTATAACGAATGAGCAGTCAGTAAACGGCGTTAACTACATATGCAAAAGAAAGGCTATTGTAGTGGGTTACGACAATGCGAAGTAATAAAACCCGTCCGAAATAAAGTTGGATCGAACCACTTGGAAGGCTACAGATCTATAAATCGGCTCATGTTACCCCATCGTGGTACAAGACAGTACTGTTATATTCAAGTATTGGTACTGTGTATCCTCTATAGCTGAGGTAGTCTTTTCTATGTTTATTTAATACGTGATATGTATTAAGGTGCCCTTTTGTAAGGCACCTAAGTGTAAACACCACGTGGTAAAATTAACCACGTTGATTCCTTACCGTAAAATGTACTGGATAGTGATTACAAAATACGAGGGCGAGTTTTCGATAATTTAATGTTTTTTTCTTTATCATAAAAATAAAATACAAATTTACATAAAGGCAATAATCGCTATCATCGACGCACGGCATATTTACAACTCACCTCCATATACAAAACGATACAATATACAGCAACATTAAACACGCAAAGCAGACATCGTCCGTAATTTTTCTCGCGCTCGCTGGTTTATCGTCGTGTAGCGATCCGAGGACACCTGTAAAAAAAATTCAAGCAGTTATTATAGGGTCGTAACGAAGGTAAAATTGCTTAATGCCAAAAAATTATATAAAAGACAATGACTGGCATTTTAGGTTTAGGTCTCTCGATAACAATTTTATGCATTAGGATTTGGTTTCAAATATTATTTTGGTATACAACACTGCCGCCGACGTCATGCATCTTAAGGAGTTAAGTTTTGTTTTATAAACTCATGCGGTAATTCCTTTGAAAGAACACTAAATTATACCCTTTTCATTCCCAAAATGAAAGGGATTTATTCTTTTTATCTCTATCTTTATGTGTACGTATTGTCTACTCGGACTTTGTTCATTAATAGGTACTTATTATACTGGTATAGTTTCTGATTATAAAGATATTTCGTTTTGATTTTTGACTAAGATCTCCTCTCTTTGCTAATCAGAAACTTCACCAGTGTAATAAATTCTATTAACAAATAAGGTCCAAGTAGACAATAAATACTCAGGGATATAATTTACTTCAAAGAAACAACTGTATAAATTTACAAAGCGATACAAGAAAAGAGATTGAGTGAGGAATATAACATTATTAACCTGAACAAATTATTAACAGAGGATCGACCAATTCATAAGACATTGCTAGGAAAGACCAACGTTCGAATGGAATTGAAGTCTTCCCTTTTACATCATACTTTTCCTGTTGGCAATAGGATAATGCCGTCTAACTAACTAATCTAACTCCTTTCGGGGGGAAAACATTTTAGTTAAAATAACGTGACTTTAGATTTGTATAGGAAGTTCCTATATAATTAATCCTGGTCTCCTTCCCTTAAGGTCTCCATATCTGGTCTCGTATTTCATCTATCTGACTTCGTTCTCTAGATTAAGGAAAGACAGACGGACGGACGACAGTGGGCATTTATAACATTATTGTCGTTAATCATAGAACAAAATTCATTTGGCTTATTTAATCAATAAATTACTCATCGGTATTCGCACGACTATAATAAACTATTAACAATTATTATGAAAATATTATATAATAATTTCACGTTTATCTGTATAACTAAATCACAAGTAAGTGCTGCTAAGCTTCCTTCTGAATATTTTATAACGACAAATGATTTGTTAAGTAAAAAACAAACAAAAAGATTATATTATGTATACTGAGTGATCGTAATACCCCCATTCAACGCCGTCTTGAGAGATATTTAGCAAGCCAAATGCCGAAGGCATATTCGTAAAAAAAAGTGCCAAAACTCATCGCTACAGCACTTTTGGCATTGCAATCAACAAAAGTTTGTAAAAAGTTAGTTACGGAGACAGAGTTGGCAGCTTTGAAATAAAGTATGGTGCCGCCTGCGAAAAACACGGCAAAGGATCGGCTACGATTGGCTGCCGAACACACACTTCGTGTCACAAACTTGCAGCGTCAAAAGTGCAATTAGTGGTGAGTATTGTTAACAATTTATTATAGAAATGTCTTCATGGTGTTGTGTCAAATTCGCCACACCAGATTTGGTTGCATTCAGACAGCTAAATATCTGTATACAGCGTTGAATAGGGTTAATCATACCACAATCAGCCGAATTATAATAAACATTTTACATTACATAATTAATATGTTTAAAAATAAATAAATAAATTTCATTTCAATCTTAACGTACCTCGACAGTTATTTTGAACAATTACTTTCCATGACGGGGAAAACCGACCTTTATATAATTTACTTCTTTCAACCACGCTGCGACACACTCCTCGGACTTTAACTTCGTACGACGTGTTCTCAGTCAAATTAGGAATAATCGTCTTAAACAATATAAGTAAAAAATCGTTAGTGTGGGAGCCACGTAAAGTAAGTAAACTGTACTTTCGTACAAAGAAACTTACGGCGTGGCCTTTCTTATCGTAAGACGGTGTCGTCACCACTTCTCGAAAATCCTCGAAATTTTCCGATCGATAATATATCGTGTAATAATCGACGTTACCGTAGACGATCTGCGGTCTTTTCCATTGTAAATACAGTTTATTTACAGATATACACGTCAGGTTTGTAATGTTTGGTGCGCTCGGACCTGCAGAAAAGAAAGTCGAAGTCATAATTTAATCGGAAATATATAATATATTGTTAAATAAACAATGCAATTGCCATAGTTATAAAATATTATATTGCGATATATAAGTAAATAAACCAGCTCAAGTTGCTCAACTTTCCCGGCAACATTTAAAACTTTGGTGGCGCCATCTGCTGTCATATCTTATTAAAAAACTTTCTATAATTAACTATAATTAACAGGAATTAATGTGTTTATCCTCGATTACTTACTTCTCACGTCGGTTTGTATTTCTAACGTCTTGCTTGAATCTCCTTCCATTTTCCAATTATATGCTCTAATCCAGATGCTGTATCGAGTAAACGGATCTGCAAACAATATATCAAAATATAATGAGACTGGTTCCATTCAAAATTATTCTTATTGTATTTTTATGCGAATAACCCGCGTTGGAAAGACGATTTGAAAAGTGATACAGATTACGCAATGGGGTGCATGTATGTCAATTTTAAATTCGAGCCTGTGGCACAATGGGTGCTCCTAAAGGCTAAGGGCGCGTTAGAGTGTAGAGTATATGCATAAAAATATAGTATTTAACACCATTCTAATTTAAATAAGTAAATTTAAACTCTTTTAGAAAACAATCGAGGATCTTATTGTTATGGCATGAGATATAATTTTAATACAAGCAAAGTAACTCGCAAAACTTGCCATTTTATATAATTTACATTGTACTAGTTTGCAAATTGCTTTAAATACAGAGTGTTTTGTAAATCTGAAACCATAGGGTTATGTTGATTTTTTTTAAATATAAAATTATTATTATATCTATCACATTTATTATTTTGAATAAAAATTATTCCCGTTTGTCATAACGGTCAGAATACACAGTAAAATCTGTTCATATAGTCGTACATATTGTCTAATGTCACCAAATTTACCTGGCTTATCGTTATGGGTATAATGATGAGGCCCAAAATGATTACAGTAAAGCAAATTCTACTGTATTTTCGTACCGTCGTTGTAAGTTTACATATAAGCTGATTTGTCTACTTAACAGAAACTGGTATATATTTTTATGGTGCATAATTTAAATCTAAATACTCACTCAAGTTATACAGAACCTGTTCGAAGTTTTCGGGATGGTGAATGGTCAGCTTATTAATTTTCGTGAGATTGCGAACGAAGTGAACAATATATATTTTATACCCTCGTATAATACCGTTGGGCTTTTCCGGTCCATTCCATTTCAGCCGAATCGAATTATCCGTGATTCCCACGGCAGTAAAATTTGAAGGTGCACTCGAAACTAAAAATAAAAAAAAAAAAACGTTCTGTTTTACTACAAAATATTCTCGGGGTTCTCGATCTGTCCTACTCCACAAAGTAAATATAATTATATGTTTAATCGTTTGTGAAACGGTTAAAGATATGTAAAGTACTTTTTAAATTGTTAATTAACATATTGCAACGACAAAGACTTACCTCCTTCGCCCGTTTTAACTCCTACGCTAGTCGAAGGGCCTTCTCCTCTGGGATTAAACACTTGTACCGATATTATGTACCGAGTAAACGTTGCCAAGTTGTTGATGGTAAAGTCCTGTGAAAAAATTTAGTATAGGCTTTATTACTTTTTATTATCAATAAAGTACTAAGAATTAGAGAAATGATGAAAGAAATGGTACAAGAAAATAAACATATATAGGCCTATACGAGCACCTTAACTATAACCCTGCGTAAATCAGAATTTGTAATCTCCTCGTTATTACATGCCAAATGTCAAATTCAAAAAGTTCTTAGTCCCCCGCTGATGTCTTGCTATAAGTTTTGCAAAATAGATATCGTCTCATTGTACCCTGTCTTTGATGCAGTTAAGTTAGCGAGCACACTGCCAATTGATAAAGGTGTCACTACCCAACAGATTTTTGCTCGGGACAGCAAGCATAAAGAGTTATTACAGTTTACTGAGTTCTTGTCGTCCATCTTCCCAATAATTAAGTATACTTTAGAGAAAAAAGTTGCTCGATGTACCATCTCTTTCCTTGATCTAGCTACATATAGTGGGAAGATCTAGTACATTCGTTTGACATTAGTTATAAATTTGGGACGAATCCCTTAATCATACCAGCATCTTTCTTGCAGACTGCAATCTACGAAAACTTTACCATCTCCGTATTAATCCTCAGAGCTTATTTCTGCCCCCGTTCCCAATACTTTGTAGAAGCTGAGCTACAACTATTGCACAATTCTATACGCTGGTTATTCTAGTGCTAAGTTTAAACCTCTCAACCCTAAGGTCACGTGGACGTTGAACCCATCTCCACTTTAAAGATTACAGAAAAGAGAGATGTCATAGTTTACCTCATCCTTTATTTGGTTCATCTTTCCTAGCTATTGCACAGCTTATCTATAAGATATATTGTGCAATTACAGGGACCCGATTTCTCTACTAGAAAGATCGAAAGTGTCTATGATTCCGTTCCAGAATAACACCTCCAACTCTCGAATCTGGTACGTAGGGTCACATGGAGGAAGCTAGTGTGCCGTCTTACAGAGCAGCAGAAAAATGTATCAAAGGTGTAACATGTATCATAAAGTCATCATAGATGAATATACTAAACTGCATATATTATTGTATACTTATTTATTTATGTGAAAACCAATAACTTACTCTAATGATGGGATCACGAATTACAATAACTTTCTTCTCTTCCGGTTTATCCCGGAACCTGAATGTGATGCGGTATCCGGAAAACTCTCCGTATATGGTCGACTGTGACGGTGGCACCCAATGTAGACGGATGGACGAACTGCCAACACCGTAAGCATTGGTGACGACGGGTTTTCCGACCGGAACTATTAACAAATATTTAATTATTTAATGTAATATAATTTCTCAGATGCGTTATATCCGATTCACTTACCTTCCATTAGCGTAAGTACAGATAAAGACGGTTTGCTAGGTTCGCTTTCTCCAATGATATTAACTGCCATTACTATAAAAGAGTATTCGGTATGCGGTATCAAATTCGTTACCTGAAATTCTGTTTTGTTATTTGAGGTCTTTATTCCTTTACTTAAATCCCAATATCCTTTAATTCCTATTCTGAAATGAGTAAGAATTTATATATTTACAGATGAAACTAATATATATTTAGACTGGAATTCAAAATTTGTACTATTTTTATTGGAATCGCCCTGTAGGCAATGTGAGATAATTCAAAAAGAAAAATGGGATGTCTTTACTCACGGCTACACCGAGAAACCAATAATTTTGTTTTCAACAAGAACGGGCCACCCCCGTCACCACAACTTTTTCGATGAACATCTGCGACAGTGCAGAAGTTAGTCGAAGTTTTAGTGTGTGTAGGGGGCTACGATTTGTTCACCCTCTTTGAAGCTTAATAACTTCCATGCGTTTTGTCGACAATTTCTGAAATTTTGCAGGGAGGTTTGTGTATTAGGGAGATCGATGCTATTAAATTTTCATGGTTAAAGGTGGTCGGAGTGAGGAGATAAAGGGGGGGTCGTTGCCAGGAAAGTTAAGCAATTCCTTGCTGGATTTTTTCTTAATTTGCTACATATTAAGTAATAAAATGTATTACTCAGTAAGTAAATTCTTTTTGAATCACCTAGATGTACTTTTAAAAGTGTATATAATACATTAATTATCCTACTTGTTTTCCTTAAAAAGTTTACAAGTCGACCCTCCTATAACACTGTTGATTATTCCGTTTTATATGAATTCCATGTTGTACGAGTCACTTAGATTTTACAAATACATGAGCCATTCACAGCCCAGCACACATATTTATAAAATCTAAGTGACTCGTACAACATGGAATTCATATAAAATGGAATTATCNTGTAATATGACATTCAGGTAAATCACCTGTATAATGCAAACAAAAATCACTTACTCAAAACCTGTAAAGTTGAAGAGAAACTCTCAAATGTAGCAGGTGGTTCAATATTTGGCCGCTGTCCGAGAATCTCATCCATCATGGGAAAAAAAATTCCCACTGGCTTCTTCCTCGGGCAGTTTGCTTGTTTCCATTTTTAATTTTCCTATAACTTTTCTTTAAGTTTCTTCATTTTTCATCACATTGATTACCCGTGACAAGGAAATCATTTTCTTGCAATGTTTGGGCAATTAAACTCCACACCTGCAAGATATAAATTTTGGATCAGTGTGTTACAATTTTTTCATTTTGGTTTCTGTGTTAAATTTTGACTTTTAATATTAATACAGAATTTAATAATTAAAATATATATAAATGGTTTGCTGTATAATAGTTAATATGACGATTTTAGTCTCTGTAATCCAAAAATATTCTTGGTAGACAAATCTCACAGCAATCTTATATATCAGCAATAAATTTAATAAAAATAAATTTAATTTGCCAATAAGATTGCTGTGAGATTTGTCTACCAAGAATATTTTTGGATTACAGAGACTAAAATCGTCATATTAATAATTAAATAGTTATTCTTAAAATATATTTTCACTAAAAGCTTTGAACTGCAATAGATTGAGGATTAAAATATTTGTTTAGAAGACAGTTTACTTTGAAGGATCCATCATGTTAAATACAATCTGTTCCAAACCGATAGATCCACTGCAGCATTTAAATATTAAATTAAGAGCTGATTTTATTTATTATTAATAAGTATTATATCCACCTTGACTATTAATTATTTCATAAACTCGTTTCGCATTGATTTAAAAAATTTTTCCTTTCCTTATGTGTGATTTCGTGCCAAGCATCAGTTATTACCTTTTTGATGATTTCACTGATGTATATTACTTTTCATTCTTACACAAATTCACTCCTATTATTCTTTTGTATTTTATACCGTCCTGTTATTGCACATTATCATGATAAACCAATAATCAATCCCCTTCTAAGTTTTGCTTACTATTTCTATATTATGTCACTATTTCAAAGTGGCTCTATCATTTCAAAACACTGTAATAATTCCTTTGTAAGATAGAAAAAAAATCCCATTTTAGACTTGAAATGTATGTACAGTACATATATTATCTGTGTTTGCATTGCTCTAGTACAGTGTTTTTCAACCTGTGGGTCGCGACCCCCTTGGGGGTCGCGAAGCCTTATACGGGGGTCGCGGGTAAAAGAAAAAGACAAGAGTTTGTAGGACCTACACTACGTTAAAAAAACTACAATTTCAACGAGAATTACGGTCCACCCCAGAAAATGATAGCCGAAAAAGTGTTGAGCTGATTTGCAAAAAGAAATAAAAAGTAAAAAAGTAGAAGCTGAAAATTCTAATCCTAAAAAAA